GAACCTTTCTGGTGATTCTACTGTTTCAAACTTGTACTGAGATCTATCTTTGAATCGGCTTGGCGGTTATCATAGCCCACTTGAGCAAATAAGAAACCATACGGACGACTCCAAAAATACATATGAAGGTCAAGAACTCTGAAGTCCAACCGGAAATTTGTCGACCCTTAGATGTCTCTGCCATTCAGTGGCCCTCCGTCTTTGACCAATTCAACTCACACAACTAAGTCAAATGATTGCTCGTAGCTAATAAAGGTGTTTGAGGTTGAATAAAAATGTTAAAATATTGTGGAACGCTTATCAGAATAAGTTTTCTCAAGATCTTACAGCGCAGCGAAACTTTCAAAGTGTTCCTCATCGTCCGCTCTGTTGAAAATATTAAGAATGGTCATGATATACCGCTGGAATATTTTGCAAGGTCAGCGTGGAAATCACAGTTCTTAAACGAAGCGAAATTCCATGCACCGTTCATTAGTCACACATGCTACTATCAATCAGCTTGTCTCATATCACAATTAGGACTTTCAGCCGTGCATCTTTTCGAGGCGCATATGATGGTTTCCTGTCTTCAGCGAAAAATAAAGACAGGACAAGAGAAGTAAGCAAGACATGTTCACTATCCATGTGCCAGGCACACTCTCGTCGTAAGCTGGTCTGTATCGCATTACTTGTAATGATCTGAGCATCCAATTTTCGGCTTTTAGCAAAGTTTCTCTTCAAATGTATTCTCAGTATATATATATTCTGATTTTTATTCACTTCTTTCTCATGAAAATATTCTGATTCTCTTTTCTCCTCATATGGTCATGTATAGGTACGGCTTTTGGTTCTAAGAATTTTTCACCACATGTTTGCGGGATAACAAACACTCCCTCTTTATATGTATTCCCCTTGACATACATCATTATTATGGATTATGGATGTGGTATTCAGTGCATCACAATATATATTATACCATGTAAGAGTATTGATGAATGGTTCACTCTTGAAGTTCAATAAGACGTTTTTACTGGGTCAGTAGTAATGCTATTTTCTATATAATTCGAGCTATCACAGTTCATACTAAAATGTTAAAACTTCATCTAAGTGTATTGTGGAGGGGCTGTGATTTCGCCTATAGAATAGTTTTTACTCATTATACATACTCGATTAGTGTTGATCCCCAATAGATGTACACGTGTGTATCATACATAAGAAAATGACTTTCGTTTAGAAATTCTTGAACGCTAAATAAGGTTTTTAATTGAAGTTTTGATTCCTCCAATAGTCTCCGAAATATGATCGGTAGATAAATCATACATAAGAGAATGACTTTCGTTTAGAAATTCTTGAACACTAAACAAGGTTTGTAATTGAAGTTTTGATTCCTCCAATAGACTCCAAAATATGATGGGTAGATATATCATACATAAGAGAATGACTTTCGTTTAGAAATTATTGAATACTAAACAAGGTTTGTAATTGAAGTTTTGATTCCACCGATAGACTCTGAAATATGATCGGTAGATAAATCATACGTAAGAGAATGACTTTCGTTTAGAAATTCTTGAACACTAAACAAGGTTTGTAATTGAAGTTTTGATTCCTCCAATAGCCTCCGAAATATGATCGGTAGATAAATCATACATAAGAGAATGACTTTCGTTTAGAAATTCTTGAACACTAAACAAGGTTTGTAATTGAAGTTTTGATTCCTCCAATAGCCTCCGAAATATGATCGGTAGATAAATCATACGTAAGAGAATGACTTTCGTTTAGAAATTCTTGAACACTAAACAAGGTTTGATTCCTCCAATAGCCTCCGAAATATGATCGGTAGATAAATCATACATAAGAGAATGACTTTCGTTTAGAAATTCTTCAACGCTAAATAAGGTTTTTAATTGAAGTTTTGATTCCTCCAATAGCCTCCGAAATATGATGGGTAGATATATCATACATAAGAGAATGACTTTCGTTTAGAAATTATTGAATACTAAACAAGGTTTGTAATTGAAGTTTTGATTCCTCCGATAGACTCTGAAATATGATCGGTAGATAAATCATACGTAAGAGAATGACTTTCGTTTAGAAATTCTTGAACACTAAACAAGGTTTGTAATTGAAGTTTTGATTCCTCCAATAGCCTCCGAAATATGATCGGTAGATAAATCATACGTAAGAGAATGACTTTCGTTTAGAAACTCTTGAACACTAAACAAGGTTTGTAATTGAAGTTTTGATTCCTCCAATAGCCTCCGAAATATGATCGGTAGATAAATCATACGTAAGAGAATGACTTTCGTTTAGAAATTCTTGAACACTAAACAAGGTTTGTAATTGAAGTTTTGATTCCTCCAATAGCCTCCGAAATATGATCGGTAGATAAATCATACGTAAGAGAATGACTTTCGTTTAGAAATTCTTGAACACTAAACAAGGTTTGTAATTGAAGTTTTGATTCCTCCAATAGCCTCCGAAATATGATCGGTAGATATTTTGACTAAAAGTCATCTTTAACACATCAGGTGGGAAATTCATGTAAGCCTAGGACAATATCGAGAGTCATCCAACATAAAATGGACGAATGGACTCATTCTTTCTCGTTGTATGAACCTAAGCTGCTCAAATTTCTCAAATGATGTTGTTAACCGTGGTAGCATGATGCCAAAGTCCTGCAGAGCGTTCAAAGCCTTATCTACATGTACCTGCTGAGCATAGTCCTGGTAAGTTATCCCATCAAGCCGACCAACTCTCGAAGAGTGGTATTAACTTATCAACTTTGTCTCATAATGCATCCTACCCACTTGCATAGGTGAGATTGTTTTATATTCTACTCAACTTATGCGTCTCCAATTTAACAAAAGCATAGCATTCTTTTTCGCACTAGCAGAATGGAAGTAGGCATGCTGAAACATGAGAACCGAACGTTTGATATGTTGTTGCTTTCACTTTAAGTCACTTTCTAACCAACAACGTTTCCTCAGAATATGGTTGAATATTCAGCTTTTACTTATCTATGGATCTAACTTACTTACAGCCGCCCATACTTTTCTGTTGACTACACGAGATCTATACATTTTTCTAATATTTTTAGTTTTCTTTTGTACTTCAGCATTTTGTTAAATTTATTAGCATACATCACTTACTGATTGAGGGTAGCATTATTAGTGTATGCCATCTCAATCAAGTGTCTACACTTATACACTATGAAGTGCACCAATTGTACGTTTACCATTTTTTAATGTAGATAATTAATTTTTGTATTCTAGTGGTGTGTATATTACATCGTAATTGAAGCACTAACTTTCGAAAGTTTCAATTGCAGATTGTGTAGAATACACAAATGATGGGATAGTTTTGAACTTGGAAGCGAATTACAATGCAGTTTCTGCGGGTGGTGTTCCTGATTGTGACTAGATTGTGACCAAGCACACAAGAAGTCATAGATACAAAATTAGTATTCAGATAGTTCACAGAAACTACAAAGTGTTTCGATTTGTGTGGTCAAATATGTCATATTTTATACGAGATGATCAGACATGAAAGTTACTTGACGAAAGTCAATGGCAGGGCTTGGATGAGTCGTCGCATCAGCCGTAGCTCAAAGACATCTCAAGGATATCATTACACTCGAATTTGTACAACTTTGCTGTCCCTAAGAAATGCATGCTCAAAGGGCCAAGGTTGGATGATTTACTCAGTGAGCTGGCTCGACAAGGAAAATGTAGACTTACTCCCAGTGGAGGTTCAACTTAAGGGTTACAACGATGGCTCAGCATTTTCACTGCCGAGTAATCTACAGTCTGCACACATTTACTCAATAGAATTTAACCAACTAGAAGTGATTGTTATCCATCAACACCATTTCTGGTTTTCTCATTAAAATATTCTGATCCTAGAGCTAGTTATGTAGTGATGTAAGTGATCTTACACCAAAACTATCTTTCTCAAACTTGTTCTCATGCTATAGATTGCCCTTCCGTTTACAAGAAGTCAAATATATCGTGCCACTAAAGCATCAAACTAGACGTGGACATCTTTCCTTTGACAATTGTCCTTGTGGTTCTTGTCCAAGATTCTGTGTAAAGTCCTAACGAGGACAACCATTCAAGCGAATGGGTTGCCTACATCAGTATTAAATTGAACGTGAACTTATATTTATTGACATTAGAAATTCCAGGTTTGACCCGGCTTAGATAAGAAAATTATGGCTGCTACGTCTTGTCAATGGGGTTGTGTTCTTTATCGCTTCTGTTACATGTGAACATGTTTAGTTTATGTACATGCCAGTAGACGAAATCACATAGTTTTCACATTTTGGCACATTAGATTAAGATGAACAGTTGTATACAACAGAGGCCAACATTTTACTTCAAATCTGCACCCAGACCAGACCATAACCATCGACCTAAGCCCATAGCATTACGTGTGCCCACCCATGCTATTCAAACTACACAATGTGTATTATGTGTAGTTACCGGTGACACTGATTCTTGGTTGGATCTTGACAAACACTGCCCATAGCATTACTTGTGCCCACCCATGGAACAGTAGTGTCACCCAAAACCCACCCAATAACCCATGGGCATGGGTATGTGCACCCAATGTTGGGCTCTGGTGTACAAAGCCTCGACCTTGTTTCTTGTCTTAACGTTAATGGGAAACACCGCCAGCCAATGGCAATCTTTAATAGGATGTAATTATCTATGTAGCCGAGTCTGATTATCTCTATTGTCATATTCGTAGCTGGTAGATCTGGAGTGGGACGTAATCCTGCAAAGTTTCATGCGAAGGCGCATATCAGCTCCTCTGTATATAGAATTTATCTCCATGTCTATACAAACGACATGCCCATAACTGTGAAACTTTGATAACAGCTACAGATGTGGTTGTGTTACCTGTTTGATAGTTCAGAATTACTGTTGGACGAAGTCTGTAATTTGTGAGTACGACAAAATTATTATTATTTTCTTATTAACCAAATAAATAACTGTAAATTGGTTCTGTCACACGGTCCAAAGAGATTACGGATTTTTGTATACTTAGACTTAGCTGAGACATCCGCCATCTTCTCAGATGTCTAAGGCATATACGTGTCGATAGTACCTACCCGTCGAAAAGCTTCTGGCTAAAGAGGCCTGAGGTGCTTTTAACTTCTTGAGGACATTTGCAAGATTTTAGCCAGCCTTTTGTTTTTCATTTGACGTGAGACTGGCCTTGGCTGTTGGTGAACTATGAAGGAAGAGGTTATCTACCCCGTCTAGTAAAATTCATCTCCACACGAATCGGTTTCACCGTACCCCTGGCCCCAAGCTGGACATGAAAAAACCCGAAAGCCACCTTTGAAAGCCATTAGCAATTTAAAACTTTCCAATAGTTTTCAAATGTTCCTTTGGGGTTGATATAAGGAGCACAATAGTCTCATGATAGTTGCTCGAGCAAAATATCTATAACAAGAAAAAATATGCAAGACATTACACATTCAGCTCTTCGACATGAAAATTAATCGTCTACCTATACATATTCTTCACAACAGTCAGGCAGATAATATGGTAGAAAATGAGAGGGAAAGCTGGAAAGTAACAATGAACAGAGGATTGCAGAGTAAAAATGGATAAATAATCGATTTGGAATCGATGGCATTCTTTGTGCACCAATTACAAATATCTCATAATTTCTACGGCATATCTTCCTTTTTTAGTGACATTTATTTCTCCAATCTGCAACAACAAAAACTCGTTCAGCAGAGGTAGCATGCGGAAAACATGTGGAATACGATTTGGCACTTGAGAAGAAACAACTTCACATCCACCTTCATATCCATATCAACAAAATATGAGTTTGCCTTAATCTAGTTACAAAAAACACAAGACAAGTAAGATTGTCACCTCTATTCTGCCCTTTCCACGCAGAGAAACGACGTCACCGGTTTTCAAAGTTGCTCCACCTTTGTTTACCTCCTTCCAGTTAATAAATAGCGCTCCACCACTTAATTCAAATGCATGGTATCAGTAAAGAAAGCACTTGACGAAGAAAGACTTTAGAAAGCGACAACAGCCGACTTAGCAGAAATCAAAAACGTCATGGCTATATATCGAGAGAACGATGAGGATTCCTGTGGATTAATGTCTCAAAAAGGAATTATCATCGATTACAAACTTTACCGAATTTAAAAACATATATTATATACAAACAAAATACACTTGCACACAAAAAAATCTAGTCGACTTGAGTCCTTGACAATCGTGTATAAGGATTTCGGTACCTGCAGGACGAACAACAGGAGAGTCATGACCACAGTTACATGTAGGGGAAACCACGTCCTAGTTCTAAAATAAGTTGAATAATTCTGAGTAAATCAAGATTATTTAACGTTCAATGATCTCCAGGAGATGAATAGGACTGTCCACTGAAATCCACCAAAGATAATGGGACTTTCGAGAGAAGAGGGTTTTCAAATTCATATGTAACTATTTAATCCAATCTATGTAACTATCAAAGAACAATGTAATTTATTAGTTTAACCTTATTGTGTCTTGCAGTTTGGAGCGTGACATCTTGAACCCGGCACTGGCTATCGCATCAACTCTCAACGAGGCTTCGACAGTTTTCATTACATCCTTCCTGCGAACATGCAGAATACGTAATCAACACATGTATGTGCTCCTTCTGTATTACTAAGGTAAGGAGAGTCGCAGCTTGCAACTGAAGCACACGTGCGTATTGATGTCAGATAACGAAGAAAAACGTTGACTTGGAAACGCATAAATTTTTATTTCTTGCTACGAGGCGACTTCAAAGGGAAACACATATCGAGTACAAGAACCAAATGATCTCGAATCGCACTTTGGTATGATAACCTCTAGATCGCTCAGAGGTATAGGTGAAGTTTCAACAGGTACCACGCGCACCTGCCATGCCAAACATGAAGAACGATAAAAGGAGAAACTCAATTCAAAAGACAGCATGCCTTCTGCTGGGTTTAAGTGATGCTAAACCACGACTAGACACCCAGAAGCCCTGGGCTTCCCAGCGACTAGGGAAATGCGATGAAGGTACAAAGAAACGAAAGCTGTTCATTTAGATAAAACACCTGCGTCACGGCAGCACAGAGGAAGCCTGCCAGTTCAGGAACAACTAAGACTTGAGCTCCCTGGTCACCCTGCACGTTGACGCCAGTTAAACCCAAAACATCTGTGTCAAAGCAGGCTGGTGGACAACCACATGCTTCGCAACGAGAACAAACCTGAAGAATAAGTTTCAACAAAATATTTCAAACATTAACACTGGACTCATTTAGCCCTCTTCATGTTTCATCCTGTTGAAAACTTGACTCAGTTCCTTGTGCATCATCCTTTGGCAAGACCAAGTGTTGTTTCCGAGAGGACTTGATGAACGAGTAGGTTATACAACTTTCCACATTCGGCTTTAGTGCTATGTTGATAATTTCAGAAACTCAAGGCTCTGTCGTGAGGTATAAATCCAGTATAAAGCTGGTAACCGCACTGAAGGTCTAAGACTGTATGCTCTCTCCAAGTTGGTTGTCGGACTGGATAGCATATAGGGCTACGAGTTCTGCCAATTGGAGAGGCAGGTTGCTCAAGTTACCCATGTTGTTCTGTCTTACTCAGGGCCTGTATATTATGTTGCAGATTTCTATCCAAATGGTATCAGCACTCCTTGTCACGGAAGGTTTTCTACTATCGAACGAGATAATTGGTCAGGATCACTAAAAAACATGTACTGCACGCACCTTCACAATAATGTCTCCCACTTTCTCACGGACAATTCCTGTCCCCAATACAGCTCCCAAGAAATCTCCATGTGATACCTTGTCATATTTGAAGTTGCCAGATATACTATGATCACACGATACAAATCACATCAGTCATGAAAATATGACATAGAACTGCAGGGACTTTCCTAGCATTCAAGCTACGACTGTAAATTCCTCATATTCTTTGAACCAGACTATGAGAATAATTTTAACCGAAAATTCATAATATCAAATACGAGTTACAAAAAATATTGCATTATCAACAGTAACTTCAGTGCGAATCGTTATGTTGTAATAACTTCCTTCTCTTGTCTGCCCGAGCCACCTTACAACATGTTGGTTGCTTAAGTGAAAAACGGCGGCACCTGTAACTCTACAATCACTCCTTACCTAACAGCAGAAACGGCAGCGGCCTCGATTTCTTCGCGTACTGAGTTATTCATGGCTTCAATGTTTCCTAAGGCAAGTCGGCATCGTTCTGCCTACCCACACATTTGAGTCAGAAATTGACGGCATGCAACGAAGAGAGCTTTTCTACCTGCCGCTACGATGCGAAATTTACTGCCAAATGAGACTTTCCAGACGCACAAATCTCAAACGAAGCTTAATGTGCTCATGAAATGGTCCGGCTGCTAAACAAGCTGAAGTTTGATAAAAGAAATAAAAAAACAGACTTTTTGGTTGTGTAAACTGTACCTCAGAATAACCGCCCCAAACGACAATCCCGATATCAGCAACTCGCTTGAGCGCTAACAGAGCGTCGTGTAAAGTTGGAGGAGTAAGGAAGCTCGAGTAAGCTATTTCCCATCTATCAGCTGCATTTTTGCCCTGGTGAACAATTACATTTATAAAGATGATAAGAGTGACATATTTTCAACGGGGAAAGGTAATCCTTTTATGATCACAGATTTCTCTTAAGTCAACTAAACTTCAAGAGAAAAACATAGTAGACGGACACACCTGTTCTAGGATCCGTGTAACTGCGTCGATATTACTCGGGTCGACACCCGATAGAAGATGATTTCTATCCTCTCTGGAAAGGACGGCTGCATAACATCTTCCTGCCAACTTCAAAATCCAATGAGACCTGTAAGACGACGTCTTTGAACTGAGAGCATCACGCAATTATGAAAACCAGAGAGCGGCCATAGCTGGGAGAGTCCACTGCACAATTATAAACAGGGGGTATATCTAAACCCACACGATCGCACGCTTTTCTATGAAAGGTCACGATTATGATCAGATATTGAGTCCTCTGATGTAACTCAGCTATAAATCATGCACGATATATTGAAAAATCCGCAAAAGTCCATTTGGGAGGCAATACAAAATGGATGAAAAAAGAAATTCAGAAGATGCTACGTGCTTTTCGACGCTTGCCACTTTCGAAGACAGCAAGACCACAGTGGAATGTAATGGCTTCATGCCGCAAGTGGCTCAGAACGATCAAAAGACAATTTCAGACTCTAGGAAAACCGTGCGGTATGGTGCTCCGGCCGTAGTGAATTGAAAGTCCAGCACAGAGGCAGAGAGGGTAATGAAAGGTGAGCAACAGAATTGGAAGCGCGAGAGGCTTCAGAAATGGCCAAATTCATAAACTCCGAGAAACCTGTCACCATAATAATCAAAACTACACACCTGGCTGCAAAACCCTTAGGGGCTTTAGACTGCAAGGGCTGCGATGGGCCACTGGCAATTTCCGGATTGGTTGTAGCACAAGGCAGCGAGTGTAAGCCAGAGCCGAGTGGGCCAAAACCACAGCAGACATGTCGAAAAATTCGCCCTTGGCAATCGTCTGAGACTTTCAGAAATTCTGCTTCTTTGTGACCGAGCCAAACCAAATGCTCCTCCTGCCAGTGAATCCTGGATCCATGATTCACTGGATCCCCTGAGAGTCCGCAGCCTCACAGACAAGGGCTACGGATGGATGGACACAAGGACGGACGGACAAACGGACAGATGGATATTATGATATTTACGCTCGTCACACCTTCCGTCCCCTTGCCGTCCACATGAGGACGTGAATGGGCCAGTTTCATTCCGTGAATTCACGTGGCTCCATGCACTTCGTCCACATCGATCCGTCGAGCCTCCACAACAGTTTTGAAGGTTTTGGAAAACTGATATTTTCCAAAAGCTTCAAAACATCATAGCAGTCGAGGGACAGATGTTTCCACCTCTAGACCCTCCAGGAGACTGGAGTCAGTGAGCATGAAATCCAGCTGCCAGCTTACCTCCAAATTTAGCAACTGTTCAAGCTCAATCTAGCGTTCTCCTTAGCAAAGCAGTTTTGTGAGGAGACGTAGTACGAATAAATCCACTCAAAAGTACAAGCGTCCGCGCAGAATGTGTCTCCTAGTGAATCCCAAGTCATTGGAGTTGCAGGCTCGCCAATCCCCTGGTTTCATTCCACATGGGCCAGACGTAATTTGCTAGACTGAGGTGGCATCGTGAATTCGCTTCGTCAGCTCTGATCACAAGCTCGCTTTTGTAGCGTCAGTACGTTGGGTAGATCTTCAACCTTGGTGTGACCTTCGGCTTTTCTCCCCATCTCTTGCTACTCTCACTTCCTCTGAAACTCCCTCTCCCTCTAAAATCCCATAGTTATCTTATATGCTCCAATGATCATGCCTCTGACCGACTTTTGTAATACTGTAACTGGGCCTGTTCAATACCCCAGCTGAAAGTCCATACCCTCTCAAAATCCATAACCCTTCCTGGTGTAGTTCGGTATGCCTGCCTGCAAATCCTCTCGTCCGGAAGTTCATTGCATGAGAGAAAAGGTCGAAGAATGATTTGGAGTAGTTGAAAGGAACCGGACTAATTGCTTCTTACTCCTCTTTGATCTTTGAGTTTTTTCCTCCACCGATCGGTGTAGCAAGTGGGAGCAAAAACGAAATTTCCTCTTTGCTCGTGTCTAGATCTCAGAAAGGAGTCTCCGATGTTTCGATTGGGGGGGTTTTATTTCTTTTTAAGATTGCCAAGGTTGTGCACATAAAAAGTGAAAAATGGCGAGAGGCCGCGAAGAATGAAGAGTTGCTCAGATTCGTTCCTTCTCATAACGTCAATGTTCAAGGAAAGATCGCAGCGGATGAAGTAACGAAGAAGGCATATGATAGTATTAATTCCCAAACGAAAAGGTCAAACGACACCATGTAAGCAAAGACAGTGAAATGAGTTGTGACACAACTTACTGCTCGGCATCCACTCTGGGCAGAGCAGGCTCCAGAGAAGAACGAACACCTTAGCAGAAGAATTATGGGAAAGTCATTTTCCGAAACCCGTGGAAAAAAATACTAGTTCAAAGTGAGCCCAAGAGACCAAAGAATCGAAAGGAGAAAACCGGACATGCAACGAGATGCACAATCGAATGCCATCGCTCGATAAAAGTGCGACGAAAGTACAGTAGTTACTAACAACCCGTTCTCGCCGTGTCACAGGAGCCCCCCGCCAAACGTTATGCCACGATTCCTTAACGTTCACAGTCTCCGATCTCGTGGCCCCGGGGGAGCGTAGCGACCGGTACATGCGCGGGCGGGGGGCGAAAGGAAGCAGCAGCTGCTGGCGTGCGTGAGGGACTCTAGTGGGGGACGGGGGCCGAGCGGAGCGGCGACGGCCAAGGTCCGTCGATGCGGTAACAGCTAGAGAGGGGCTCCGCCTGCAAACGTCCAGATCGAGCCCTGGCACGTGACACTCCGGCTAACGGGGCCGCTGGCTGGCTGCGCTGTACAGTACTGCAGTCCCGCTCCCGAACGGATTTCGGCTACCGGCGGACGAATCGGAGCAGGTCCGATGGGTTCCGGCGACGGGACGGCGACGACAGTAGGCGCCGCGGCCCGCCAGAGCCGTTCGCGCGCGCCTGCTGCTTTCTTGCGTCCTGTGTCCGCATCAGCTCCACCAATTCTGAGCGCAAGAATTGACGACGAGCAAGCAGAAGCAGAAGCAGGAGCAGTAGGAGCAGACGCAAGCGCAGAAAGGGGCAGAGGAAGAGGAAGAGGGCGTGGAGAGGGAAGGATCCGGAGGAGAGAGAGAGAGAGAGAGAGAGCGTACGGAATTGATTCGTTCTGGGAGTCACTGCAGCGCCTGTGATGTGATGGATGAATTGGAGGCGAACTAGAGATCGCTGTCGGGGACGAGATCGACGAGAATCCAGCCTCCGGGATACCTGCGGAGTGTTGTTGTTGTTGCCTGCTGTGGAGGACGAGGACGAGGGCGAGGGCGAGGGCGGACGACGAAGAAGAACGAGAAGCGTCGGAGCTCGTGCGTCGTCGAGGTACGTACGTTAGTTCGTGCTCGAGAGAAGGAGTTGTTGTTGTTGTTGTTGTTGGAACGGGGGTGCAAATAGTGGACGTGGAGCAGTGTATCTGTAGGAGCTTGGTAGTCGAGGGAATTGTTGCCCTCACGCCCTCCCTCCCTCCCTCGCTTGCTCTTGCGCGGGAGTGCGGGCGAGCGGGCGTGCTTGAGTTGTGAGTGAGAATAGGCGTGCCTCTGCTTGCTCGATTCTTTGCGATGGCGGAACTGATTGGTTCGCAGTGGAATGTTTGCGGAACGCGATTGATGCCTAGTCGTGTGTGGTGTGCGTTTTAGGTGAGTGTGGTCTATGAGTGCTTGCTTGATCAAAGCTTTCCGATGCGGACGAAATTGGTTCCAGCGTATTTTGCCTCGGACGGTTTGTTGCTTACTCAATTGCGTTGTTGTTCTCGCGCCAATTTCAGTCGGTTTCTTCTTTGGTGCCTCGGACTAAGTCTTTGTTTCAATCATGATGCTCTTGCTTCCTATTATGTACGATCGTAATTGAGCTGCCTCGCCGTTGCGTTTATTTCTCGTTCATGTACTTGAAGTTCGGAACTGTCGTGTGTGCTTTGTGGCTGCGGCTGCGGTCATCATTAAAGCAGCGACGCGTCTACCGCCCCTTCGGTTGTTTGTCTTTTCTCAAGTTGGCCCCGATAGTAATTGAGCTTTGCTGGTGTCTTTACAGAACAGAAGCGCAGACAGAGGGGCAAGCTGGCCTTTCGCGTTGGCTCGATCGCCGGGCAGCAAAATCGTGGAGTGATGGGCGGTGATTCGTTTGGACCTTCTTTGCCTCGAACTGCTTCCGAGGAAGACTACTTCGGTGACGATTTCGAGCAGTTCGGCTCCACGTCGGGCCTGATGGAAACCTCAAGCCAACGTCCGTCTTGGATCGAGCCAGATGATCTGAAGTTGATGCACCGAATTGGCCGTGGCCTTTTCGGTGATGTCTGGCTTGCAACTCTTCACAATTCGACGGAAGAATTTGACGAATTTCACGAGGTGGCAGTGAAAATGATGCCCCTCATCGCGGACGATCGCGTCCGCATCCTGTTGGCCAAGTTCGAAGCCTTATTTGAAGCAGCTCAAGGCTTGAACCGTGTCAGTTGGCCTCAAGGAATTTCCACCAAGAACGGAAAAGTAAGCGGGTCTTTGCCTTCCGAGTTGTGCAGGCTTGTAAGGGTTTAACTTCCCAGGGTTTTTCTAGGGGGTTGTGAACTCCAACTTTTGCAAGTGATATTGTGTTGTATCATGTAGCCATCTTCACTCTTTGAAGATCTCAGGTAGAGTAACTTATTGAAGGTCTTTCGCTGACGCTGACTTGCTCTAACTGTGGATTCACATATTTCCGTTACAGCAGTAAAGCGTCGACTGAAGTTTCCCTTTTAGAAGTAGACCTTGCTTGTCATGGTAAAAGACTCTCGGATGTCTTTTTCTGCTAAACAGATGAACAAATGACGGCGAAGGACTGCAATATTAAAGAACAAGAGGTGTAAAATTATTCATCTTCAATGAAGGTGTCAGAGATTGTGGCTAGGAATAGAGTTTCATCATCAGAGATATGTTGGTTGGTTTCAGTTTTTTAAGAAGAGTGTAAATTTTGGTTAGAATAACATCGATCAGAGTAATCTTCTTCTCCCCTGAGATATGCCTAGAGCGTAAGATGGACGAATAAGGGGAGCAGTAGAGGCGTTTTTTGGGGGTTATTGCAGTTAACAGCTGGGATTTATGTCATATTTAGCATCGAGTTTCATGTGTTATTATGAGGTGGTAAAGTATGGCCTAAACCTTGCCTGTTTAAAAAGAGGTATTTTCAGTAATTTTCGGTTTGTTTGCCATACTTCAGGCTTGCATCATTATGAAGTTCTACGAGGGATCAATTGGAGACAAAATAGCCAAACTCCCTGGCAACGCTCTCCCTATCAAAGATGTTGTGAGGTAACATGTCCTTACGATTTTTGCCGATGGATCAGCACGTCAGATTACATTGTTGTACCTCCTCTCCTAGAATCTACTTCACCCGTGAAATATGTCTGCTTTGTTTGCCTTCGTGCTTATTGGCAGGTTGAAGTGCTGAGACATTCTTGAAGCGAAGTCATGTACCACGAAGCTAACAGTTGATGCCAATTTTTTTTCTCGTTACTGCCCTTTGTGATTGAGCATAAACAATCTGAATCGTCTTGAGTTTGTGTTATTTGTAAAAGGGTAAAGCCGGAAAAGTTTTCCCGAAACGTTTCAAGCTTTTGTAGATTCTACAGGAGCACTTGAGCTCACAGTAGGGTACGAAAACTTATCAGAAAACAGCGTGATGGGCCCAGATGACTTCAAAGCCCTGAGCCGTTTCTGTTTTGCTTCTGTACTGATAGATATGGTGTGGACCTCGTTCGAGGGATCATGGAACTGCATTCTTGCGGAGTACTGGCCCTAAACTTGAAGCCGTGTAACTATTTGCTGGATGAGCAAGACACGGCTGTTCTAGGAGAATTCGGTATTCCGTTGCTCTTTTTTGAAAATTCTGCAACAAAGTCTGAACCAGTTCCATGGATGGGGACACCTAATTACATGGCTCCAGAGCAGTGGGATCCAGCCTTGAGAGGTCCATTGAGCTTCGAGACGGACGCTTGGGGCTTCGCTTGTAGCATCGTGGAAATGATCTCGGGAGTGAAGCCTTGGGCCAATCTGACTGCGAATGAGATTTTAGAGGCCGTCGTTGTCAAACGCGAAAAACCGGCCATTCCTGCCGGTCTTCCTCCCGGATTGCACCACATATTGAGGGCGTGTTTTGAGTACGACTATCGTCGGCGCCCTACATTTGCAGAGATCCTCCGCGCTTTTACGAGGTATGCAGGTTGTATGCAAAGGGTGGTGTTACAATGAGATGGTGTTTTACATCGCTGGATCGCTTCGTGATTTTGACTGCAATTCTGTTTCCGGACCTACCTGCTGAAATGTTCACTCTTTCTCACGATCTCCTTCTTTGATGTGACTTAGATACGTTGCCGAAGTCTTCTGACTGACTTTGCATTTATCGAGGGAAGAAAATTACTTGATGACCTAAAAACTAGACAATTATGGAAGTCAGATAGGCGTTGCATCCTGATATAGTATACATCTTCATAATATGCAGACCAGATGAACTTTTCCAAGAGGGAGACTGGATTTGTGTCAGAGACAAGCCTGGTGGTGATTGTACCAAGATTGGTATTGTGAAGGCTGTGATCGGACCTGACTCCCTGTACTTACAACTATGCGATAAGCTGGGAGAGCCTGTCCAGATATCTGGAGGTGATCGCCTTTCATTATGGAAGGACAAATTTCGAACTGGTGAGAGAGTCAAATTGAAGAACTCTGTTTCCTCTCCCCGCTTTGGCTGGGCGGGAGTACCACAGGTGAGTCATGATAAAGAAGCATTAGTCGTTGGTCTGAATGACAACGACGGAGTCGTCGTAGTTTCTTTTAGAGGATCCAAAGAACTTTGGAAAGCTGATCCAGTCGAAATCGAACGAGTTTCGGGAGGCTTGGTAGCTGGAGACTGGGTATTTCTGCGAGGTGGATGGGCCGTTGATCCTGATGCTGCAGCTGCTGATCAGAGGACATCAAGGATTGGAGTGATACATCACGTGGCGAGTGATGGAAAGGTGCAAGTTGCCTTTTTGGGTAGGGAATGCCTATGGACTGGAAGTCCACCTGAGTTTGAGAAAGCCGTCCCGCTATCTAGCGGACAATTTATTCGCTTGAGGAATGACGTCCTCTCACCTCGCTTCCAATGGCCAGTTAAGGTGCCTGGAAACTGGGATATGGGCCGGATTGTAAACGTCTTGCCTAATGGAGGTTTAATGGTAGACTTTCCTGGTCGTTTTAGGAACCGTAAAGGATGGTGGGCAGATGCTGAGGAAGTTGAGGTTGTACGGATTCAAGAAATCGAAGGAATTGTGCAGAAATATCAGCACATCGAGTCGATGCATTGGGCCATCCGTCCTGTGGTCTCATTGCTGGGATTCCTCATCGTTGCCCGTGCCGGTATCGTGGTTGTAAATGTTATGACACATCCATTTCAGGGTAAGCAGGTACCCAAGGAGGAACCAGCGAGGAAGATTGAAACGAAAGCTGTTATCGATAGCCATTGCGTGACGAAGGAACCTCATAATACAAGCAGTTCGCCATTGGCTGCGGTGGCTACGCTCATCTTCGGGGATAGTAGTTCTAACGGACGATGATGAAAGTTCCTCATGGCACTTGGTGGTCATCATGTATATAGGTCAAGTTACCGTGTAATTGCACGAGCAGACACCGTGTTGTAATGGCCGAACCCATTCAGGAGAAGGCTTCGCTCGGGAAGAACCGTCTGACAGTCTGAATATGGGATGATTGTTGAAAACTACCACAGTTGCTTGGCAGAAGCATCAGGCCTCTTGCAACGCGCTCTGCTTCTTAGGTGACATTATCTGCTTGCGAAGAGCGATGGAGTCGCTTGTCGTTGCTGAAAGTTACTGACAGTCGTAGAACGGCCTTACAAGAGTATGCGTTGGGAAGTCATGCAGTTGCTCATGGACTTAGCGTTCAAAATGTCACGATAGCCACTCTCGACGACGAAGTTATCGTGGAGAGGTAGGATCCATGAAGATAGAACCCTATATCATTCTGTGAAAAATTGTTTGGTTCGAGAACTCGAGAGTAGTCCGGACAATGCATCGTGGCTGCAAACGTAGGTAGCCACATTTGCCTTGCAAATTTAGTTTCGCTGGACAAAGAGACAGACAGTTCATGGGGAGTGAAAGCTTTTTTCTATCTGTTTATAAGCCGAGCTTTCTGAAGCGGTCCCCATGGATGCAATAGCTTTGATAGTTGTGATGTAACCTTCTGAGGAACAGGAGATTGCTTAAAGAGGAACAACTAATGTGGGAAGTCGTAAGTCGTTCATATCAGCCAACTTTTGGCAAGAGAGTGATTCCCGTAGTGTGCGGTATGGCTACCGGTATTGCTAGCCAGCCAAACACATCATCGGATGACGAACTCTGCTCGTGCCTGGAAGCTAGCTGGCTCGATGAGACCTTGTCTCTGCTGTGTATATGTAAAGAAAATGTATATAAGCTTTTTATTCCTTCTGCTTCCAAGATTGGCCTAGTAGGACACTTGTGTCTTAATTATCGTGGATTGTAATTTCTGCAACGTTTTTAAGTGGAACTTTGTATCATAAAATTGAACTCGTTGAAATCATCTTGAAGTGGTGCATGCCTCTTGATTTTAAAACGTCGATGCACCCAATCAAATAGCTGAATTATAATATTTGATTATAAATGTTTGGTTGTGGATGCCAAGACGCGCTGCAGACAGTAGATCTAAGCATCCGACTACCGAGAGCATTTTAATTTATTCTCGGAAGTGAAGAGTGTAAATGAGCCGGAAAAAGGACCCATTCTGGATGATAACTGGGGAACACGTCTAGGTAGCATACTGAATGGTTACATTTGTTTGTTCCCTCGTTCAGATCTCAGTTTAGACAGACAATTTCTTTAAAACGAACACCCTCGTATCGTGCTCTGGATCTCTACGTTCTGAAATGAATCTGACATCGACTGAATACTCGAATTGTCAGTTGGATATAGCTGCGAAGTACTCAGCAAGTATCGCTTCAGTCGTAACCCATGCGGGAGTGTGTTCATCACGTTAGAAAACAATATAGTCTATGGGATAATTAACCATAATATATCCAACAGTTGTTCTTGAATTCAGCACACAATTGGATTGAACTACAATGCATAAGATCAATTTCTTTCAAAATATATATCACGTGCCTCACAGTATCATGGTTAGTGATATTCCGACTTTCATAATTTGATCATGTGGACAATTAAGAGAATATTAATCACTTATGTCTAGAAGATCATAGAAGGACTAAAGAAGGTGCACATGTCATCAAATCTAGTACAAAATCTCATTGGGGTAAAACATGTCATTGGTGAGAGTCATAATTACATTCTGCTTGGTTGAGTGAAGATACTTAAAGTAAAGGAGTGAAGACGTTTTCAAGCTTTCATAATGATGGTGAAGTAGAAAATACACATTCCAATAACTTTTATATATGTAAACGGTGTGCCCATATTCAATCACGAATTCGGACAATAAAATAGATCGCAAAGACCGAAACCCATAAAAACATATTGTTGTTGTTGTGTTTTCCTAAATAATAAATCAATCTCTCACAATGAGAATTTATTTGAGAGGAGAAGGTTAACACACCTCATTTGCCGTTAATCGAATTTCCTTAATGAACAGTCGGTGCTGCTTTTGCCTTCTCGAACTGAGATCAGTATCAAGGACTCAAGGCGTTGGGCAGAAGAGGAAGTGATATCGCCAATCGACAGACTGGGAAGAAACGGTTGAAAAATTCTAAAAATTGCCATTATTCTAAAGGGTAGGTGATGGGTTTCCATGGTGGGAATAAATTACGAAGCATGACCAGCTTGAATGCTCTGCATGAAAGATCCACGATCGAAATTGCCAACTCACCACAGGCCAAAGTCATTAAGATGACGCCTGACGTAGAATAATCTCGTTTAGTCATGAATAAAACATGAGAATTTCATGGCTATGATTGCAAGTATATACGTATAATCTAATGACGTGTCGCACTCGATTGCCCACCTTTTAGAATAGAAACGTCCTCAGCGGCCGCCCTAGCCGGATACGACATTCGTGTCTTTCTGAATATTAAAACCCTCTGCTTCTTATGGCCAAGGGAGTCCTGAAAATTAATAAATGTACTGCACATTTATTAATCTTCAATGAAAAATTAAATCGGAGAGGCATGGAATATAAATCAATGAAAGATTTGATACAATATTCCCGGAATGTTCTCTCCCGAGGAGCCGAGAATGTAGTGGTGTCGATTTTCTGATTTGGAATGAATGCCTGAGGTGAGGTATGGGATCAATGACGACGTCGGAGTCTTACTTACACAGAAGATTCAACGATAAAGTCACGAAAATTGAACCATGCCAAGAAAATGTGGACCGTTGTACGAGGAAGTACAGGAAAATAAGGTTTTATTGGACAGTCGCAGTGACTGCCGGCGAGAGAAAGACAATAGATCAATGGATCGAGGACCAGCAAGACAGTCGATCGGACTTCAAGTGATTCGATATGGAGTCGGATCTTGACGAAGTTACTAAGGCTTCGTTGTTTGCAAGGGCGACTCTCGATACTCATGACAGAGAAATGATTCTTCTTTCCACCAGTTGAACTTCACCTTGAGAGTTCGCCTCTGGGATTGTCTTCGGTGAAAGCTTGATCTGAAGTGGAATGTAATTTTCCTCCATAATTATCGTAGCAAGAATATGGAGGACATTTATAAGTTTCAGGTTTTGGATAAAGAGATGTTTACAAAAGTTAAGAACACCAGTGCAATGTTTACAGAGCAATGTTTACTCTGTATTTGTGGAATGTATGAAAGTGCTAGTATAGGTTAATACCCTAAACCCTATAACCCAACCCTAAACTCGTTATACGAGTAGTCTGAAAATGATACTAGAGAATTTCGTACCGTATGATACAATGGTACGTGGAATATGAGTACAGACTCGGTACATCGAATTCAAATGCGTTCTTTTGGTTTTAAAACACTATCATGACAGTTGTTTGTTTATCCTAGTGATGCAGAACATTGAATTATTCCGGTAAATTTTTATTTTACAAAACCATCTTTTCGTATTGCATGTTCGCGATTATTTAATTATTATTCGTAAGAAAAAGTATATTTGATATCACTTTGAACAACATGATGAATAAAGAATCATGATGATGAACAAAACATGAATCATTACTGTTAAATATTAAAGAAGGTAGGAAACATGAATAACTGACTATGCTTGCCATGATGTAGACCCGGGTTATAAGACGAACATGAACCTGTTACACATATTGTATGTAAAGATTTAGCTCCGGAGGGACTGAAAATCCATCATCATCTACGAGTGGAGTGTCATTGGTGAATGTTTCCTATTGGTATGGGGATCGATGAACTCCTCATTCCTATAAACATGGAAATTATATAGAACTCTGTCCTAGAGAAGTTCATGACAACCTGTGTTTCTAGACGAACTGCGTATTCTACACGAATTGTATTTATTTTTTACACAGAAAATATATTTGACTCATTTATGATTTATGTTCACTAGTATATGTCTACAATAAAGAACATATTTAGCTAAAATGTTGGATATACTATATAAAAATAATATTTCGTCATTAAGATACAATTTGGCACTAGTGCCGTCCTATCAATTTAGTTGTATGTCTATCACTATGGCATTACTCTCATATTTCCTACTCGATTCACTATTTTGATGATTAATTACGGTACAGTACCTAACAAACTTGGCCAATTCTATGCCAATAATGTGACACCCAAGTGATGCATCATCGGTCGAGCTGATCTCCGCACGAACGACAAGACACGCATCCCGGCTTTACGGCTCCCGTCAACCCAAGTAAAGCCCCGGAACTGCAAGCAAACACCAGTTTACGTCCGTCAATAATTTGAAGGAGGTGCGGTGCCGGCAGTGAATGCATGGTAACCGGGAGAGGAGAAGAGCCGGTCACCGCGACCGACGACAGACAGGACAGGCAGACCGAGGAGGCCCGGAGCAGAGCAAGTACCGCTGACTGACTGACTGACTGACTGACTGACTGTCCAGCGAGAGCGCGCGGCCAGATAGACTTAAAGCATGGGCCTGGCTGGCCTCGCATGGCCCCTCGCATGCCATGCCATGCGAGGCCATGCCATGGCGTCGCGAGAGGAGCGTGAGCCGGCCCAACGTTCAGCTGAGCCAGCGGAGCCAGCAGGGGACGAAAGGCCCAGTTCGTGCCTCACTCTCGCACTCGGTCTCGCTCTTTGCTCTTCGGAGAGAGAGAGAGAGAGAGAGAGAGGAGCGATCGGAGTGTCAGTTGCTGCTGCTGCTGCTGCTGCTGAGCGCATTGGTCGATCGGAGCGAGGAGCCTGATTGATTGATTCATTGATTGATTGCGGTGCATGGCCGGCTGGGGCAGAATTGGTGGTGGGAACCCTGCGGGCCGGCCCGCGGAGTGCTCCGATGCCGATGAGTGCCGGAGCCTCGCCTGCAGGAGTGTGATCTGATCGCCTGAATGAATGAATGTCTTCGAGGCGTTGACGCGGGGCGTGCCGAGGTTTTTTCTCTCGGTGAGCAGGGCCCGAGGTGGCTAACGGGGGCTTTAGTTTAATAGGGCTGTGTGTGAGCGTGGGGCGGAGGTTGAGTGCAATTGGGCAGCGAAGGGTGTGATCCGGGGTCTTTTTTTCAGGATCATGGGTATGGGCGAAGTAGGCAGACACGGCAGCACGAGGATTGGGTAGAGATAGCGCTGTCGAGGAGGAAGTTTTGGACACAGAGGTGAGGTCAAATGCCGGGTGTTGGAATTCCAGCTCTTGCCGGGAGCGAAATGAGCTGGGAGTCGATGGAGCTCGCGCGCACTCGAATTGATGCCCTCGGGCACGTGCTGGGTCAATACGACTTCATTGAGCAGCTCAAGGTGATTATGGCAGAAACGTACATTCTCTGTCAGCGAGATGCACTTGGGTTACAATGTGACCCAGCTCTGGCAGCCCGGCCTGGTGTCTGTTTCAGAACTTCTGACCAGGGAGGAAGGATTAGTGTTATCAGTGTAATTTGTGATATTCTTCGGATGTCCGACATAAGATCAGCTGCAACTTCGTTGAAATGTTCCTGGCTGATATTCCATGTTTTCATGTCAGGAATCGGAACAACCGATCAAGGAGCTCTTGCAGAATGCAGCAGTCATTGATGCCATTACCTCTAGGATATCAGACCCGACATCTGGAAAGGTTAGTCTATTGACAGAGTGCTGTTTTTTTGGGGGGACGACGACTATTCTGAAAACAAAAAGTTGTGCGAACATGCGCTCTCGGTGATCTTCCACACGGAATAGTGGAAATAGTTTCACTGAGTTATATGCTTAACTTGCCTTTCAGCCCCTTCTTCTAATGCTTCCGGACTCTTCTGGCCTACCCCCTATGATGCAGATAGGACCCTGGCAGTGAACTGGAAGCGCTCATTTTTTTTGCCTGTATGAAAAAATTGTTTATGCACATCAATTCTCGCCCTTAAGAAATCAGGTTGTGCTTTTATTGAAGTATGTATCAGTGAAGAGATGGATAGTTGAACGCTGATCTTCTACACAACTCTCAATTATTCACTAAAGAATTTTTTTGTTGCTTGCAGGCAGGTGATGAATTGTGCCAGTGGTTGTACGAATCCTACCAGACCGGCGACGCGCATCTCCAAGCTGTGGTACTCCGATATATGCCAGCTTTGTGTGGGACATATTTCTCGCGCATGTGTGGCGATAGCGATGAACCCTTGGCAGGTAGATCAATGTACAGAGCTGTTGGGATACGATTTCCTGTTGTCGACTATGCACATTCCTCCAAGTCGTGTGAATTTGAGCTGATATATGTGAGAGATGCCTCCGTTGTCGCAGGTTTTGAAGCTGTACTTCTAGCCCTCTATACAGAAGAGTCAAAGGCTCGCGGTGGTCGTCCTCTTTTGATCCATCTTCCAAGCCTTTCACAACCTAGTCTCTATCACACACCTAAGCCAGCGTCTCGAAACTCAGTAGCCTCTCAGGTCAGAAATGTAGCCTTTACAGTTTGAAAGTTATTCTGAACTTTGATTGTTTCAGTTATTTAATTACGGAGTTCAAATTTCTGAATTCTATTAATTCTATGAATTTATTGGTTGCAGAATCATTAATGTGTTGCATGCTGCTACTTAGCTTTCCGACTTTCCTGCCATGCAGATTTGATTGTTTCTGGGCCTCCATGGTTTATTGGGCAAGGTTTAGGTAGAGGACCGCTGTAGTTAAGCCCTTACAAATGGCGTTGTCTAGTTTATTCGTAGGGGTTTAACATTACTTGTACGATTCTTCGTGTGGTTTTCCATCTTTTCTCGAGCTCGTCTTGCTCGAACTGCGTATATTAGGCGTCTGAGGTCGCATTATTCATAGCATAATGACACCTCGCGGTATCATGTCTTCAGACCTTTCTACTTGGTTTTTGAAGGTTGAGAGCTGATATCAAGGTTATCTGTCCGGCTGCTTGTGAGCTGATTCTATGACATCTCAAAACAATGGTCATTTCTGCCGAGGTTGTTGAATCGGTTTTCCTTGTTACAGGTTCATCAGCATGCCGAGCAACTATGTGCCCCTTTGGAGCCACAAACAGCTGTCAAGAGCACAAAAAGGGCTGCTATCGTAGGATTAGCCCTGGATCTTTTCTGGAAGAAAATTTCTTTCATGCCTCCAAAGGCTAAGCTGGAGTTTTGCCAGCATGCCAGAAGGTGTCTGTTCAAGCTCTGCAAATTTGTCTCCTACTTCTGACCGAACCATGCTAATGTTATCGAGTAGAATCTGAACTGCCAGTTCTGCTCATTGCTTCTACACCATTGCCATTCAACTCCGTTGTAACGTAGTGCCTCTGACTGCTTATTGCCGATCTCCTTATTGTCGATCTCGTCTTGATGAAAGTGTTGTTCAATAACTAAAAAGACAACACTGTTATCAATTTATGTCTCAGAATTTATTCAAATCACCAACGCGTGTTTCTTTCTCTTTCAGGTGGACTACGATGGGTTGTTCGTGGGCCTCACAGGTTGATGAAATTGCAAAACTGGCACTTCTCACAGCTGAGCCTGTGCAACCTCCTCCTGATGGAATCCATGCTCCGGAAGTAGGATACGCGTTCGCAACTGGAGAGTCGATTGCCGTTGGCCAAGCTGTGTTAGAGCAGCCACCTCACCACCGGACAGTGGAGGCAGGCAAGGCCGTTCTCATCGACAGAACATCCTCTGGTAGTGACAATAATGAATTTATTTTCTCTCTTTTATGAAACAGTGATAGTTGCGGGTTAGTGGGAAGCATCCCTACTGAAGCAAAGCTAGTGAGTTCTTTAAGCTGTGTGATGACATGAATCAAATTCTTTTGCGCTTATATACGGAATGTACTGGTGTTACGATCATGTGAGTAATCTTTGCCAACCCTGAAGAGTACAGGGAGGTGATTCTCACGTTCTTGCTCTTTTTGGTCTTGCTGTCAGATGCTGCTTTCTCATCTGCACCTGGTTCAGTCTCATTCAATTCTGCTACAAGTAGTGTTGAACAAGAGGAACCTGGGGTGAAGCTGCCGCTTTCGCTAGACCTGCTGCGGCCCATTTTCAAGGTCCTTGGTCATTGCCTGATGTCATCTATGAGCCCTCCAGAACTACAGGAGGAGGCGGCCGCCACTGCACGCGCTCTGTATGTGCGTGCCTCTCAGGATCTAGTTCCGGAAGCTATTATGGCGGCCCGAAGTCTGGTAAGATTGGATGCCCACGCAGCTGCGGAAGCTCGTGCCATTGCGGCGTCCTCTTCCTTGAGTTCTATGTCCACGCCGAACAAACCTAGGAAGTCGGACATGTTCTTGATGCCGTCATAATACCTCATGTTCGTTCTCTTGAGAATATGGACAGTTTTGGGATATCAAGGAGAATGCAATGCTTCCTGGAGTTCTTGAAAGTCACTGCTGTGAAACAGGCCAGATTATTTATACCTTCCAGAAACCACGGGGATCCTGTTAAAGTAAGTGGCCAACTCATGCCCTGTTGAATGCTTGTGGGCATGGGCTGAGTACCAACTCAGTCCATGCCCCACATGTTACGAATTCCTTAAATTTCAACTGCCTTTAACCCTCTATGCACAAAGGGTCACTCGAGTACCATCGTGGCCATTCTACTGAGAGCAGCAGATTAATCGAATTGCAAGCATCCAACTCGGACGCGCTTCGACCGCGCTTATTTCCGGGGTTTGTTTACACACTTGAAGTGAACCCCTCCAACTTCTTGCAGGACAGTGAATCAGAAGAGGTCTAATTGCAGGTCAGTCGATACAAGAGGCGACAGTTTTCTGTCCTGTTTTGACAGACCTGGAACAGAAGCGTTCTCGCATGTTTGAAGTTTGTGAGCTGGCGGGATCATATTGCGACGTTTTCCAAATCAGCCGTGGCTGAGTTTTCCATCTACGATGACAAGGAGTTCTCACTGTTACGTGATGTAGTATTACTGAAATTGGTGTTACGCTGTGTTCTGGTCCGCGATGTGGAGGATACCTATGTGATTACACCGACTTGAGTTGGAAGCTTTGTTATGAATACTTCCTAGTCAATTGCAATAAAGCAGATGGTCTGCGCCTTTATTCATACCTACTTCACTCGAGTGCTTGCACAAACGTAAAACACCATGTCCATGTTTCTTACATTGAAACATACAGATCAGTTGGACAGTTTCGTATTTCTCTGATCTTCTTGAACAGTTTTGTTCTAACGATACAGTTCCAAGCAATCGGACATAAGCTTTTGGTCTGTCGCTCCATTAGCGTGACGTCTATGAACGCCTGTTGAATATAAAGGGGAATTGCCTGAAGGTAAACGCTCTCCCCGGACAGGTCTATGTCCATTGGGTCAATTCGCTGTGTACACCTCAATTCTCTTGTTCTTGATGTCTGCTGTATCCAGATGTTTCACTGTTCAAAGAGAGCAGCAAGACAAATGTGTGCAGAGTGGCTTGGACAATCGCCTGGACTGAGTCAGTGTGGATCCACTGACTCCTCCACGGTGACTTCAAAACCTCCGTTAATGACTGTACCCTCTGATAGATCTCCACGTCCAGTATGATATATCAAACAGGTTATGCCATCACTTTCACAGAGCTCCTGTTCTGCCTTAGTCCGAGGTGTAGATGTTGTCCATGAGAGCTTACATGTGTCTCGGTGATCGGTGAAGGTAACTATCAACCCGTTTGACAATTCATGTTTTTTGTTGCTTGGGAATCTTATAATACATCTTTTAATTATAAACGCTAGTTGAGAGTGAGGCCATGTCCTTCACCTACGAAGGTGTCTGAACGCAGGCTATTTGTAAATGAGTAGGAAATCCTTGTAGAGAACAAAAAGATGGCAACAAGGAGGATGGAAATGTTGTTGACGGCATTCATGAATTGGGAGGGAGTAAAGGCTCAGATCATTGTCGGAGGTGAGCCAGTTCTGATAGATTTACGCAAATTCCATTCGTGTAAGACTGTAACCCTGCCAAGCGCCGAACGACGTACTCGTGGAAACCCATGGATACGAATTGTCGCTGCTGCTTCCATCTGCATCTCGTGTTATCGGTTCTGTTTATACACCTGAAGTCTGAATAACTATTATACAAAGTCATCAGCCTCGAAGCCGAGGCTGGGACCAAAAACGCATGCAACCTGAAATCACAGTTTTATGCGAGGCTGCAAAACTGGTCCGAGAGGTGCTGCCGTTGAACAGCACGAGAATATCTTCATTGAACGAAGACTCAAGCTGTCTTCTGAACGTGAAGTGGTATAAAACAATTAGAAAATCGAAATTCGGCGAAGGTGCAGAAGCAGAGGATTCTCCGTCCTCCTGGAGAACACGGTTTCATGGACCGTGGCTGCTGCATTGCATTGCATTGCATGGCATGGCTCGGGACAGGGCCTTGGAAATCCACATCGCTGCCATGCTCTACGTGATGACGCCTCGCCATCACTGGAGGTGGTTACTTCAGGTAGCTACCGTATGCAGTCAAAGCAGATGTTTGTTTCTGCACGAGATCCCATGAGGGCCAGCAGCAGGCAGCAGGACCGTAACATGCAAGGACTGCCGAAGCGTCGATGTTCTAATGTTTCCGTGGGTCGATGACACAAGCAGAATCCATCTGCTTCGGTACTCAAAGCAAGCATTCCAGTCTCAGCCGTGTCCACCGTTGATTCGTCTGCTGGAGGGGAGGGGAGGGGAGGGGAGGGGAGTACATGAGCACATGGGAGACATTTGCTACGAACATAGCTACGAGCAGATTCGTGTCCACCAAAGCTTGTGCGTGACGGGAAGGAAGACCTAAAACACTCGGAGGTGGAGGTGGAGGTGGTGGCATTGCTCCCGTCGAGGACGAGAAGAAGGAAGAATGGAGTGGAGAGGATGCACTTACTTACAGTCCATCGACTGAGCAGGGCCCACGTTTGAGGTGTCTATGGTGGTACGCCTATGCATGCGCTCGAGTAGCCCGTAGACATGGACGCTGATCTCTCGTTTGTTGTGGGTTCGAAATTGGGCAATCCATTGGGTTTGGGTGCTTTGGCGGGCGTTTTTGTACGAGGGGCGAGGAATCAGGTCGAGCATAATAATCTGAATTTTCATGTTTCGCGCCATTCGAAGTTGTTTTGTGCAAGGACGGTGTTCAGAAGGGCACAGGGTTTTAGAACAAGAAATGGCTGGCAGGCCACATTGAGAATCGGGCACTGAGTCCTAGCCTCTTTGATTGCAGGAGGAGGAGGAGTAGCAGCAGGACGTAGGGAAGCGAATTTGCATCGCTCGGACGGAGGTTACACGACTGCGGTGGTCGATCGACGCGAAAGGAAGGATATTTGTCGATCGCATCGGAAGAAAGAAGGAAGGAAGGAACGAAAGCGCTTGATTACGAGGCGGCTACGGCGATGTCGCTGCATGAGGCTGCGAGGGACGGAGACGTAGGGAATGTTCGCCAGCTGCTGTCCGCCAATGCCGAGGCTGTCAACGACCGCGACAGGCATTCTCGAACTCCGTATCCTGCCGTGCCCCTGCTTGCTTGCTTGAGCTTCCCGAGTCCTGTTGATCATGTCTCTGACGTTTGAAGTTTGCTCATGCCTCGTCGTCCTTGGTCCTTGATCCTTGAACCTCGCCCTCGCGCAATTCATTAGGCGAAGGTTATTTAGCGGGAATCGTACTGGAAACGGCCTGCGCATCCATCCGCACAGACGCTGCCTACTGCCCTCTAGGAATGAATGAATGAATGTACTTCTTGCCGGGTCCCCGAACATCCTTCTGTCGCTCTTCGTACACAGCTCGCCTTGTAACTGCTGACTCTCCCTCCAGTCGCCATCCAGCCAGCCAGCCATCATTCGCAGAGCTTCAGAATCTCTTGTCTGAATCATTCGCTCATTTCTCCACATCTGCCTCTCTCCTGCCGCATGCAATTCAACCTCGTCTCCCATCCCCCTACCTTTCCGCTGGAAATTGTACTCACCTTCATCCAATCTGGCAAAACAAGCCCCTCCCTCTACTCTCTCTCTCTCTCTCTCTCCACTCTCGTCGACGGATGATGAATCGTGCGGATCCCTTCCATATGAGCCAACCAATTCGGCCCGATCGATCCCAAACCCGGGGGGGAGTCAGAGGAATGAATTCAGCCGCTCGAAATTTCGGGCGTGCATTGCATTTGGGAGCGGAGATGAGTTTGAGTGGAATTGAATGGAATTGAATTGGATTGGTTTGAAATGAATGGAATTGGATTGAATTGAGTTGGATTTGAATTTGGCGGTGGCGGGGGGCTAGAGAATTGGCAGCAGCAGCCCCCTGCGCCAGCCCCAGCCCCATCCCCATCGGGGTTGCGCAACGGCTTTTGCTTAACTGAATCAGCCAGGCTCCATATGGCAGCGTGGGCGGGGCGTGCAGAGGCGGTGAGGGTGCTGTGCGAGGCGCGGGCGGACGTGGGGGCAGCGGCGCAGGATGACATGGCGGCCATCCACTTTGCCTGCCAGAAGGGGCACACGGAAGCGGCTCGTACGCTGCTCGCAGCCGGGGCCTATGTGAATGCGCGCACCCGCAAGGGCATGACGCCGCTGCACTTCGCCGTCCAGGGGGGCTACGCCGAGCTCGTGCGCCTGCTGGTCCGCAAGGGGGCTAATCTCGACTCCGAGACCAAGGCCAAGAAGAAGCCCCTCGACCTGCTGCGCGACGAGCAATTGCGTGCCGTCGTCCGCGACGCCCAGCTCGAACGCGACCATCGCCGAGCCAAGAGCAAGGAGGACAAGCCCAAGCCCAAGCCCCAGCTCGAGCCCCAGCCCCAGCCAGAGCCCCAGCAAGCTTCTGCTCCAGGTGAGTTCCATGTCCCCGAGAATCCCATCGCTGTGCGCGACGAGGCGGGTCGAGAAGGAGGAGGAGCCGCGGCAGCGACGCTCGAGGATGGAGAAAAGTCGACGGTCGAGGTTGCGATCGAAGAGGAGGAGGAGGAGGAGGATGCCAATGTCGTGATCGGGCCCAAGCGGAAGAAAACGAAAATCGCCCTCACTCATCTTTTCAGCGAGAACGATGATGACGAGGTGGATTAGGTCTGATGATTAGTGTCAGGTAGAATACGTAACATCCGCACATTTACTCTCCACCTGGCGCTCCAAGATCCGCACCCTATTCATGCCAGCATTTTCATGGCAGACTTGCGTACAATCTGTTGCCGGAGCCCAGCGACAGGCTTCTTCTATGTCTGTCCTGGCTCGAGCATTCTGTTAGCTCGGCACTGTTAGCAGCTCTGAGTTGTTCCAGACAAGCAGCAGAAAGTGTAATGGGAGTGTTGTTGACAGTAACGGATGCTCACCTCGTAGAACGACAGACAGTGGGCTGCTGCTGCTCGAAAACAGTCAGAGAGCCATGTAGCGAGGGAAAGGACATTCAGTCATGATGAAGCTGCACCTTTTCGATCGAGCTGTTCATGCGCTACTTTATGGGATTGCATAGTTTGTCTCCCCGAAAGCAGGTCGCATATACTCTGGGGTCCATCCGTCCGGGCCTTGATTCCATCGATCTCGATTTGGCCTCTCCATGGGCACGAGATGCCCCGAAACTCAGCCGAAGATTCTCCAGGCCTCGAAGGTACTATACGAGGCATGTAATGCTGGGCCAAGGGCCAAGGGTTTGGGTTTGCGTCCTTCCGGTTGCGGTTGATGCACGTACGGTGGACGACAACACGCCCCCGCAACGCTTGGCCCCCAGTAGCATTAATCATGTGCACTTCGAGCTTCACGCCGCATCTCCATCAATCTCGTGCCATGGCAACTGCCTGTCTGTCTCGTCTCGTCTCTCATCCCGATCCTTGATCGCCCAAGCTCTTCAAGCGAAGCCCGAGCTGTAGCTTGAAACTTGCACCCGCGAGCGAACTAACTGTGTCACCATTCCTCTGGTACAAGACTTGGGAGCGAGCTCATTTGTCTCGTCACTCATTCGCATGGTGTGTGAGGCGGGGCAATGGAATGTGAGATTTATGACATGAGGGGCGATGGAATCTGCATTACGATTGAAAATGGGGTCGAGGGCTGGCTGGATGGTACGGATGTTGGCGAAGTGGGTGGGCACCCTCTTGCGGCGACGAATCGATCGATTGATCGAGCATTCAGGGCCACCAAAGAAACCAGCGAGAGAATCAGCTGTGGGCGTTCGGGTCCCATGCACACTTTAACACCACGACAGCGAGCGAGCTTAGAAAAAGGCCAACCGAGGGAGCCACGAGAGCTCGTCCGCCCTTGCCTGGCCTGCCCTCCCCCTCCCCCTCCCCTCCCCTCCGCCTCCATCGCTGACCTCGGCTCGCTGACAGGAGAAAAACTTGAGCAAGCAAGCACCGCGCGCTGATTGTACGAGGCGGGGGACGAGGTTTGGGCCTCTTCCGCCTTCCATCCCTCCATCCATCCTTCCAGTGCACACGAAGCAGCGCGCGCAGCTTTCTCGGCGCATCGCCAACATTTCGATCGAAGGCGATTGACTTTGACCATCGGCCAGTCAAAGCCCTGACACCTTTCAGAAGCGACCTTCTCCTCCTCCTCCTCCTCCTCCTCGCCCTTGGGCCATTCCTTCACTCGCGCACGAAGCCTCTCTCAAAGTGGCACACGCTGCGATCGATCTCGCTCGGAGAGAGGGGCGGAGATTAATATAGGCATCGGAGGGGCAGACGGAACGCGGCGGGGGGTGCGTCTGCGTATGTCGTCCCTCTCGGGGGTTGGGGTTGCGAGGTGCTTCGCCGAGCGCTTCTTTTTGCTCGTATCGCATCGCGAGTTTCGATAAAGGAGAAATTGAGTTTTCGAGAGTTTTTTTTTTCGGGGGCTCGCCCTTTTCTGCGCTTTTCCACTGTCCCGTTGTAATGCTGCGTATTGCAGCCCCCACCCGCTTGCTAGAGCGCGCGGGCATTGGTCCAACAGCCCCCAAAGCGGTTTCCCAAAAATCGAATCCCAGATCTGCCTGCCAAGGCGTCAGCTATCCTTCCCAACTGAAGCCCCTCCCTCGCCCCGCGGACGAATTGCACACTTCACACTCTCGCATCTTGGACCCCCCCAGCCCCAGCCCCAACCCCAAGCCCACGGCGAGTTCCGCTTCCGGTCCTAACCCAACCCCGCGTCCCCCGCGCTGTCGCTTTCCGTTCCGGGTCGAAGAAGCGGAAGACGCGAAGGAGGCCGAAGGGTCTGTCGGTCTGTGCATCGGGGCCCGAACATGTGCCACAATGCGCGCCAACGCCGGCCCCAACCGACCGGGCCGAGCGCGCTTCGGAGGTGCCACCGAAGTTTAGCGGTCGAGTGACGCTTCCGTCGGAGGACCGCGGGGCATCTCGAGCCATCGCGGCATCGATCGGATGAAATCGCGAATCCGCGAGCCACGAATGTGGCAGTCCGGTGGGGACGGGACTACTGGACGGGGCGGGGGCTGGGTTAGAACATGGACTCCGAATGCGATCGGCATGCAAAAGACCGGCTTCTCGAATTAGGATGGTGCTGGAAAGTGCTTCCCGAAGCCCACCCCCACCCCCACCCCCGCACCACTCCCCCCGTCCCGTCCCGTCGCTGCGCCGTACTGCGCTGGCAGCGTCTGATGCCCATGCCCCCGGCTCCCGTCTCGTCGCCTTCCAGCAAGCCCCTCTCCGCGTCGCGGGCATTGATCCCGCCGTGGGTCGGAGAATGAAGCGCAGATGATTGGCGTAACCGCCCGCCCCTGCGAGGCTCACCTGCTATAGTAGGTGACGGTTAAAGCGCCGGAGGAGAGCGAGCGATGTCAATGCGCTCTGGACCGTTTAGGCCGTAATTTCATGCGCCTGTTGACCCGTGACTCGATCATCCACTCTCCTTGTCTTAACCACGGAAGTCAACCTCCGTCCGTCCACACGTCCGTCCGTCCGCACCAGCAGCAGCGGCAGCCTCCCCCAACCCCAAGCCCAGCCCCAGCCCCACCCCCCATTCCTCTTCCCCTGCACCCCTTTGCATATTCTCTGTTCTGTACTGTACGCGGGGAAATTCCTCGTCCCTCGTACGTAGACTCGTAGACTGGGGAATATTTGTTCATTTTTCGCTTTTATTTCGTCATGTCTGTGGGAAATATCCGAGTTCCCCCGATCGTAGACCGCTTAAATTCACTAATCGCGTTCCCTCGGGGTCATCATCATCAGCATGTGTCGACTGATTAAGTCGTCGGTGGATGGGGAGGGAGAGAGAAAGAGAGACTTTTCTTTTCCATGCAGACAGACTTTCGAGTGATGGGCGAGCGTGCGATTGGCGATCGATCCATCCATCGGCATCTACAACCAAAAAGATGTTTTCTGTCCGTGGAGAAGATGCAAGCGAGAATCTGTCAGAAAATATTGCATTAACGCGATGGGTCACTTACCGAATTTTGCGAACCACTAATTTCAACGCCACCAGTTTTTTTATTCAGGAACTTTCCACACCAAAGTTTCATGCTCGGCAGTAATCACGAACAAATAAAGTCCCCCTTTTTTATTTCTCCCCTTTGCCGCCCCACACGGATCTCAGCCAAACCTGAGGAACCGAGCAGATTCTTATAAACATGCTCGATTAAAAAAGTAACCGAAATGCAAAGCTTTATAAAGAATACGGTTTCTGCTTACCGGCTGGTTTTAGTTGGTCCAGTCGCGAATCGATCCACGAATAGAGTCACATCTCGAATTTGTACCTCAATCAGGGGAAGACATCGTTTAGTCACGTGGCTCTGGAATCAAAGTGGAGGTCCATAAAATAAGTGCATCCGAATATCTGCTCCTTTATTGTTCCATCCCGTTCGATCACCAAGTCCGTCTCTCGTACCTCCATTTGCACATGTTCCTCATGGCATTGAACACGCTCGAGCTCGAGGTGGACGAGTCCATGACGACCACTTTACTCGCTTCTGGAACCGACTCGTGACGAGCAGTCGGATGAGTGAGTGAAGGAGTATCTGTAACGGAGCTCGTTCTCCATCCATCTTCGTTGTACTCTACAATTTAATGACTGGAGAAGGCAGAGAGACAGATGGTGAAGGCCACCGAATCACTTCTGAGTCCAGGCCAGACTGACTCGTAGCCATGGGTACTCGGCCCGAGCATCATTTCTTTTCGCCTCGGTCAGAATTGGCCTTTAATTCATGCTTCGTGTTTCGCATGCTCGCGTGAAATAACAATGCGGATCGATGGATCTCGAGTCAACTTCATTTCTGCTCAGTGGCTATTATTACTGTATGTGGAATGGTATATAAGTATAAAGCCTTATGATGCTGCATAGCCTGTCGAGCGAGACTTATGGAGAATGAGGACGTATCTAGGCAGAATGGGAGACTTGGTGCGATGTGGAAACCATGAGGAGTTTAACTCGATTATTTTTTGGTGTATGCTTTTCGAAGAGATGGCCAATTGTCGCTGTTGTGTGGCTTGGACTCTAGCGTCAAGCTGCTCAGCTTAGGAGGTACGAAGTCTCCCCCCTTTGAGATTCTGCAACCCTTTTCAAAAGCATCATCATGGCTGGTTTTCTCGTTTGGATGGATGCAGACACCACCAGATTGCCCATTTCTTACTTACCCGAATCTAATGAATGTATCATAGAGGTTTAGGAGCACGGACTTTCATCCGCTGCTCGACTTCTCGGTTGAGAGACTAAAGAGCTCTTTTAGCAATAAAGAATGGTTGAACTCTTGAGGAAGAGCTCCAGGAAATGAGGATTTCAGACCGACCATTGAACATCCGAGTGTGTCGGGTGTACCACTACTGGTAGGTATGACAACCCAATCAAACACTGGTACATTTGTAGCAAGTCAGCGACATTTGCCTGAAATTAGTTCGATGTTTCATTCGTACCGATAGTAATCAGGTTTCAGGTTCCGTTCGTGAAAAAGCCAGGCAACAACAGAAATCAAATCCTAACTGCCATCACATTATATCCAATGCTCAAAAGTAACGAACGAACGAAAGAAGAAAGAAAGCCTCTCGCTCCCACACTCACTCCCTCACTCACTCAGTGCTTCAACCGGACGAGAGCCCTGAGCTCCACATGCAAGACGCATACTTTGCTGTATAAAATGGTTTAAACCGTCGAGGGAATTTATTTATTGTACACCAAGTTTCCCATGAGCGTGAGGCGGACCAGAAGGTGAAGGAGGAGGAGGAGGTGGAAGATGAAAGTCAAAAGTCAAAAGGAGTAATAGATATCTAAGAAAGTTGGATTGTACCGTGCCAGTGCCAAGTTTGTTGGTTCTGAAGGTCGAAAACGTTAAACATTAAAATTCCTGATTGATGTACTGCTGCTGCTGCTGCCATTGCTGCCATTGCTGAGCTGCTGCTGCTGCTGCTGCTGTAAACGAACGAAGCTGGGGAGGGGAGGGGAGGGGAACATTTACTTCTATGGGTAGCGTGGTTAGTGGACCGGTCTCAGTCTCAGTGTAGGCGTGATGATTAGTATCCCTATGTAGAATCGCTGCTGAAGGCTATGGGTTGCGAACAAGCTGGAGGCCATTCACGACCAAACTGAATGCAGATGACCCACGAGGACTTCACTCGCGTATGTTACACTAGACAAAATGGGCGAGCAGCAGCAGCACTCATGCGCTGCACAAGGTAGAAACCCCGGGGTGACCATGGGGAAAACGAGCTGCTGCGTGGGGTAATATGGGCGAGATCGGGAGGTCGATGCTGAGGCGCAGGAGGAGGAGCTCAGTGCAGAAGTCAGCTCGTAAGACGGTGATGGCAAATAATAGTGCGGATGGCTAGATGGATGGATCGAACGTAGGTGTGGGAGGAGATTGGCGAGAAGACGAAGAAGAGCTGGACGGCATTCACCTTTGAGCATTAAACCGAAGATACACAAGAGCATGATGGGCGTCTGAAGGTGCGCGAAGCACTAGATTATAGCCGAGATGATGATGGGAGGGGAGGGGACGGAGGTCTAGAGGGACAATGCTGTCATTGGCAAGCGACCCGAGCCAGTCGAAGCGAGGGCTTGAGCTTTGAGTGAGATACACTTGGGCTTTCGAGACTGGCAATGCTGGGAAAACACCAACAATCGTGCCAGAGCTAAAGAGCTTGAGATTTCTCGATCCAATACAAAATCTCATGAGTACGGCCTCTTAACTTAACCTCTCCTCTCTTTTGTTCTCTCCCCAATCCCCCCCCCCCCCCCCAGTCCCACTCCTGCTGCTGTAAGTCCTGCATCTCCTCCTCCTAACCTATGTCCTCACTCTAACAGCTAAAGAGCAGCCTCTCTCTAACTCTTACACCACCCCCAGAGTTCTTGGACTGAAAGTAAGCCCCAACTCCAACACGACCTTGACTTTCTCTCAGCATTGTGTCGCCGGAATGTGGACTGCAAGAGGACTCAGGCAGGCACGTACTTCGGTGAAGGAGAAGGAAGTTGAGGGAGAGTAGGACCAGTGAAGGGGACGAGGTCAATCTATTCAATTACAGTGGAATGAGGGTGAGAATATGCCTCGAAGACTCGGAGTACAGTGGCCACGTCCAAGAGCAAGATGTGCATGCAGTCACGAAATCCTCTTTAATGGAGGTAGTAGTAAGTAGCATTTGGAAATCTTCTGATCTCGGTGATATGATATGTCACGAGACCAGCGTACGAGCACTGATCGCCCAGACCAGGTTCGGTCTGAATCTGGCTTTGATGCCGCTCGGGCACAGGAGATGAGGGGAGAGCAGAGGAGACGAGAAGAAGAGAAGACGAGACATCCTCAGCTTTTATATTGACAATAACCCTCCGATCTCCGTGTATCTTGTGCTAAAGACTCCAATATCGTCTACAGTCTCAACGCTGAAAGACCCTGAAAGTAAATGTGCACAACAGTGTACACACTCTCTCTCTCTCTCTCTCTCTCTCTCTGCCCATATGACAAGACCTGATTTGCATCAATCTTAGAGAAAATTGTGCCACACAACTGTAGAAGCTCTACAGTACGAGCTGAAGTGGACTCTGGCCTGGGACCAGGCTAGGTGACAAAAGGTCCCTATCCAGAGGAAGTTCATACAGCACCAAAGTATATGCAGATGGCAGAGTTGTAAGACGGTAACTCGTCATGAGGATGAGGAGGAGGAGGAGGAGGAGGAGCAAAAGAAAAAGTGTGTGCTTCTCTCCTGACCATGATTATTAAGGCCGAGCAACCAATTTAAAGACGTCTCAATCATGTAATCTCCTGGAGGAGAGTTCCAGGTAAAAGGATAAACATGAGTCGTGATCCCTCGGCATTCTAAGCGTGCCAGGCCAGTGCCCTTTACTACAACCGGATTAGCAGAATCGTCCATCTCGTGGCCACCTACGTTTAGTTGCTCGCTTCGCCTACTACATTCTTATTATCACAAAGTACCATCATTACACGGCTATTTGGCAACCTCACGGCCAGTAATTCGATCTCACCAAAAGCACAATGTCGTTAAAGATGAACTATTAGACTACGGGATGATCATTGTGCTCCAAAAGGCAGAATGCTTTTCGTTCCACGCCAGGGCTACTCGGTTTTAACGATGTTCGGAAACCCGCACAATAAACAACTGTGTGGCCAATTGAGTGCACCGGATCTGCACTCCTCGGCAAGGGGAATTGGCATCTCGGGAAACTGGCATATGCCTTTCTATATGAGGGGAGTGAGGAGGTCTCGAGCCATGAGAGTTGCGCATCGATGTGGGCAAGTCAACACCTGGTGCGCAAGAAGGTACCGAGAGCCAGATCATGGCCAAATTCTTAGATAAACCTCAGCACTAAGCACGGATCATGGGCTACTACTACAAACGTGGAAATTTTGCTTAGCCCGGGGGAGAAAAGGGGGCAAGAGAAGAAGAAGGCTTGGGGTTGGGGTTGGGGTTGGGAGCGTGAGGTGGTTTGCCGAGCTGAGATAATCGGATAAGGAAAAGGGGAGTAACGCTTAGAGAGGGGAGGAAGTAGGTGTGGGTAGAGATGGGGGGCACTGCTGGATCTCCAATTTATGTAGCGGAGTACAGGAGGGGCCTGGGGTTGGGGTTGGGGGTGGGGGAGGGGGTGCAGGGGGGGAACGGGCTCGTGGGGCTGGAGGTGCCGCTATAATGGAGCGGGGGCTAAATGGAAAGGACGGGGGCGAAGAAAGAAGGCGTCAGAGGCCGGAACATGGGCTCCTTAAATTCCAAACCCATGCAATTAGCATAGTGTGGCAAGGTTTGTCGTTTATGGTAGCCAGTGCCAGCACAGCTCGAGCGGGCATGCCACGTGTCGGGAGAGGGAGTGTGGGTCCCGGCCACGAGAATTCCTCTGGCACGTCCCAGGCTAGTGACCGGTCCCCCGGCCGCGGCTCGCACATCGTCGTCCCGACCTTCTCTCCCGGTTCCCGCACAGTACCGCCCGCCCGCCCCACGGCCGTGCTCGGAGCCGGATTTCCTCTCCCGTCTCCCCCTCCCCCACCCCCGCCCCGGAACCAGCCCCGAAACCGTCGGCCGATGCTAAATCGGACGGCGCTCGGCGCCGCAAGCGCCCGGAAATGGAAGATGCGGCACGAAGCTCGCGACGGACGGTCCGATCGGCGATCGGACGGTCGTCGCGGCGGGAATCTCCCGAGCATCGGATAAACGAGCGGCGGTTTCCGACTCTGGCGCCCGCACGCGTGCGTGCCTCTGTCTGTCGCAAACGGCAGAGCCCCCGCGGTGGCAGTCGCGGGCGGGGGACGAGACGAGGCGAGGCCCAGCCCTTAGCCCTTCCTTACCTTAGCCCCCGAGGGTCCTACCCGGCGGGCAACGAGCGGATCTTTTGTGACCGCTCTGCGCTATTGTAGTAGAGCTGCAGAGCCCCCGGACCAGAGGAGGAGCGTCTCGAGCGCGAGGCCCTGAGCCGCTGCAGACCGCGCCAGAGCAGAGCGAGAGCCAAGGCAAAGAAAGAAACAGAGACATCAAGTTCGCAGCAGAAAGAGATCGCCGGACCAGCAGCACCAGCACCAGCAGCAGGAGGCCCAAGGCAGCAAGCAAAGCAAGCAAGCAAGCATCGCACGCAGGCACGCGGCGAGGGACGAGAGATTGCGAGGGAGAGCGAGAGAGAGCGAGAGAGGTCGAGCGACGGGACGGAGCGGAGCGGAGGCAGCGAGGGAGGGAAGGAAGGAGAGATTTGAGAGAGAGCGAGAGCGAGACAGAAAGAGAAAGAGAAAGAGAGAGAAGGAGGGAGGGAGAGGGAGAGATCAAGAGTTGAAAATCGAGATTTGAGGAGTCGGATGCACGAACTTTGATGGAAAAGATGGACCAAGATCTGGCGCGGCGAAGGTGAAATGGCGTTGACATGACGTGAAATGATGCGCGCGTGCGAGAGAGAGAGAGAGAGGGAGAGGGAGAGTGGCGGAGAGGGGAGGGCGAGAGATGAGATGAGATGAGATGAGATGGGCGACGAGAGGCAGTGGCGAGGAATTGGGGCGTGAGGAGGAAAGGTTGTAGTATGGAAGGCGTCCAGGAGGAGGACGAGAGCAGTGTGGAGAGCCTGGTTGCGTGGATTTCCCTTCTTCCTGCGCAGAGCAGGCCGACCGGCGGAAGGACTTGTCGTAGTGCTAGTGGTTGTTGTTGTTGTTTATGTTGGTGTTAAAGAAGACACGAAAACTTCTGCCTCATCTGCCGGGCCGAGGAGCCAAGGACTTGCCGGTATTGTCTCGATTGTATCTCTTCCGCATTTCGTGTTTCCGCACTCTTTTTCTTTCTGGGCGCTTGAACGCAGATCTCGTCTGTTAGCGGTGCCTTTTTTCTCCAATGGTCGGCCGGGGTAGTGCCCGCGCTTCAAAATTGCGGAACTGTGCACGCGGGGTCGTTAATGCAATTTAGATGCGTGTCGGGGCCAAGAACCGCCCGTGGAATTGGTAGATCATGGCTTGTATATTGTGGGAAGTGAAGTAGACATGAGCTTTAGACTCGCATTCCGGTCGGGCGGGCACTGAGGAGATGCTAAGGAACGAGTTTTGTGCACCCAATTGGTAGGACGTGATCTGTTTTAATGCTGTAGAAGGTGAGCTCGTTGTGAAATCGGAATTAGATGGATGTAGTATTCCTGAATCAGACGCGGAAGATCTACATTACGCGAGGATGATCTTACTTTGCACAGTTTTTGAATGTATGCTCCGTCTCGATTGGCTTGGCTTCCGCTGCCCGGCATTCTTCTTATGGGCAGGATTGCAACAGGGATGCCAGCTGAGGACGTCGGTTCTGGACCCTGGAAGCAGCGTGGACTCGTTCTGGTGGAAGTCGGTGGGTCTCACATGAGCCTCGGGTGTGTCTCACCCCAACTGCCTCCTCGACTTCAAGCCTAGGTATGAATGGAGGCCTCATCAGATGACGAGTTTCATGAAGCCAAGGACGAGATTTCCTCGCAGTCAGGGTCGGAGAGTCCGGATGAGGAAGGTTTTGATTTGGGAAAGTACAGATCCAGGCGGAAGGAAGGGCAAGAATCTCCTCGGCATGCCTCCTCATGGTACAGTGATTCTCGCTTCTCCGTATGGCAAGACGGGCCCAAGTCCATCCACGAACGTCGTCGATTGCTGTATGAACGATTCGGAATTCCCGATCGTAGCATTGACAAGCGGGCGGAGGGAGATTCCAGCAACCCCGGCCCTACCATTCGAGATCGCCCGGATGACGAACGGCAAGAGAGCTCGCAAAATAGAATCCCAAGATTTCTCGGCGGCAGTATCAGGGAGCATCTGACCTCTGTCGGGGAAGGGTTTGGGAGGGGGGCCAACAGTGGGACGTCTGGCTCACACGGAAATGGGTCATCTCCCAGGGAAAATTCGCCAAACGCGGCCCGTGGTGCACAAATTCAAGCCAGAAGTTTCGAGGACGAGGTGCCATCTGGATCCGATTCTGCAACTCCCGTGCCCGGAATCGAGAGGCTAACTCAAACGAGTGGGGCAGTGCTGCGCGAAGGAAAGTGGGGACCCTCAAGCTCGAAACCTCCAATAGGCAGCCGCGCTGTCGCAGGGCTTTCGAAGTTAGGTCCGGGGAGCCCCGGGGGAACTCAAATTCATGCGACCGACAAGCGCGGGAGTCAGGTTCATAGCCCAAGTTCGAGCTTGAAGAAGAAGCCCGGTTCTGACAGTGCGGGCACTTTGTCTCCTGATACTGGTGACGCTTCGATCGAAGGATCTGTGTTCGATAGTGCCAATGGACATTCTTCGCGCAATTCAGACGGAGGACTGGATGACATGAGCGGCGACAAGGACCCCGCTCTGGATCGGTCGTCTTCTGCTGATGAAAATAACGATACTGTGTACAAAATAAAGGATCTGGACAGTGGAAAGGAATTTATCATAGATGAATTGGAGAGTAAACTAAGGGAGATGGATACAGGCAAGGAAATAAGTCTTGAGGAGTTCGAAAGTGCATTAGGTCTTTCTCCTGTCATGCAAGAATTAAGGAGGAGAGAAAGAGAAAAGGGCGGTTATACCGACGATGATATTAGCCTTGTGCAGGACACATCCGTTGTCGGCAAAAAGAAGAAAAAGACGTTGTGGGTTAGGACTATGAAAGGTGTTGCGAAATCTGTCGGACTATCAAAGACGAGGTCCAGTACAGATGCTCTCAAGCTGCAAAACGAAGGCAGCCGAGGAGGAAGTGGTGGCGAGGAACGAGAAGGTTCGGGTTCGGTTGAGAAAAGCAGAAGGATGTCTACATCTCATGACAGCGTGGAACTTCCTCGTGCCCCTAGGTCGCCACAGCGGGTCAAAGTCCATGTGGTCAGGAAAAGCCATAAGGAATTTTCGGATCTACACTTGGGGCAGGAGATTCATGCTCACCAAGGTGCTATCTGGACCATGAAATTTAGTACAGATGGGCGTTACCTTGCTACTGCTGGGCATGATCGCATAATCCATATTAGGGAGGTAATAGATCATCCGTTTGACAAGGACCAAGACAGTAAGGAGCGCGTTTATGACTCTGCTGATAATCGGGACGCTGCAGCATCCGATTCGTCTCATGGACGGAAAGGACCTGTGAAAGCCTCTGTGAGCAAGAAGAAGGCAGCACAAGGCAGCAGCCCTACGAAGATGCCTAAGCTCTTTTGGCTGTCTGAGAAACCGGTTTGCTCCTTCAAAGGACACACGGAAGATGTGTTGGACTTATCTTGGTCTCAGCAGGTACTAAAGTTCACTCGAGTGGAGACATGGAGAATGTTATTGAGCTTCTGTGATATGCATTATATAGTCTATATTACTTCATCAGTTGCGGATACTCTTGAGCTCTGTGGCAAGTTCCCTGCACCGTGGGGTCCAGTGTGTTCTGTTGTGTCTCATATCTCTGTTGTACTCTTGGACGTTCCCGTATGTCATAGTGTACTTTGTAACGATATAGCTTCATTTGGTTTGTGCTGAGGTGACTCTGGCTATCCATCTCTTGGGTAACAGCTGCAACATCTAGTCCCGCTGCTCTTTATCGTAAACTTTGGCTTATTAGCACCCTGGCTCCTGCAAGAAAACTAGATACAAACTACTGATTGTCCTGTCGCTTGTTGTTACATGTTCGCACGATTCGTATTCGTCTGGTAATGTTTCTCAAAATTGATGTTTGGAAGAAAGCAGCATAGGTTTTGTGTCGTAAAGTTTCTCATTCATCTTAGCCGCATCATGAAATATAGGAACTCAGCAAGTTTAGTTCTTAAGGCTGATGCTCTTCCATCGAAATGAATTTCATCCCTTTGCCTGTCTCATTCCTTCCCGACCGAAATGTTTGTTAGGCATGAACATTGGTGTAATTCTGACATCGTTGTCATTTCTTAGCAGCATCTATTACTGTCTTCCTCTATGGATAAGACTGTGCGATTGTGGCACATATCGGATGGTGAATGTTTAAGAACTTTTATCCATAGTGACTACGGTAAGTTTTATCCGGAAACACGACACCTTACTTTACTTCTCAAAATTGTTGTAAACGATGCGGGTTTAACCCTTTTAGAACGAAGAGTATTGTCGCCTTGTCGTGCAATGCAGTGTTATTTACCGCATGTACCTTTGTAGCCAGTTATACTCTCAGAAGAAATTGATATCTGATATCAGGTCCCTAACTGATCGGTTACTTGATCTATATTTTCAGTTACATGCATAGATTTCAGCCCTACGGATGCGCGTTACTTCATGAGTGGGTCTCTCGACGATAAAGTGCGAATGTGGAATATTCATGACAATCAAGTTGTAGACTGGAGTGATGTTCGCGAAATGGTAACGGCTGCCAGTTTCTCTGCTGATGGCAAGGTATTGATATTCACTCCTACTATAATTTTTTCCAAATTTCCCAGGAGTCATTTACCCATGTTGAAGTTCCCTGCATATATAGCGTAAGTTGATTTTTCTTGATCTTATGCATACATAGCTACTCCGTTGGATATCAATCCATATCATATCTGGAGTTCAATTTTAAAATTTGACATGTTAAATTTCAGGTCCTGGTTGCCGGTTACTCAGAATAGGATATTGTTAGACGCCAAATATTTGTCTCTTTGATTTGACTCGTGATCATGACGATTTGATGTATTCAATGCTCTTTCCTTATTGGTTCGTGTTGGCCTACAGAGAGCTGCTATTGGTACCTATAAGGGCACCTGCCGGTTCTACAACACGACTGGTATGTACTTAGACCGAACGCTGATCTCTAGCTTCCTTGAGCTGTCTGTTTTCAAATGAAAATAGATTTACTAAATTTTATACTAATGAGAATCACTCTACAAGCTGTGGTAGATCACGTCCAGATTCTCTTCAATCTTTACATCAGCAACCATTGATAACTGTGAAATGCAGTGAACTATCATACAATATTGTTGTGTCATGCCCATTCCACGTGAGAAGTTGTTTTCAACAGATCATTGCTTGATTTGTTTGTACAGGCCACAAGCTTCATCTAGATCAACAGATAGATGTACGGAACGCTCAAGCCAAAAAGGGTCAAGGAAAGAAAATCACAGGCCTGCAGGTTTGTAAAACCTATTTTACTCGTCTTAAATCTTGAATTTGTAAGTTCTATTTAAGCTGGTGTATGACGGCTCTGATACAATTTTGAGTATTATTTGCTCATTTTTATAGTAGCGTTATGCCTGAACGGTTCAAGATGGTCTATTCTAGAAAGAGGTCCCCTTCTTAAAATGTCATGGCATTTGTCAACTGCATGTCAGACGACTTCTTGTTTAATAGACTTTTACTTACTATAATCTTGCTTCACAGTATCTTCTTCTTTGGAGTCGACCGTATACACTACAGCGTGAATTTAGTGCATGGTTCAGCAGTTCCTGTGTTTCCTCGTGCTCACCAGATTTTTCCAGTATTATGTGTATGATAGGAATTTTCAATTGAATGCAGGGTCTTGCTTTCTAGAAGAAGTGTTTCATCATAAAGAGGGAATTTTAAAATACTGACAGATGTATCGATACAATTTGTGCAGTTTATGCCAGGGGAACCCAACAAGTTACTCATAACGTCGCATGATTCCCGGATTCGAGTTTATGATGGGAAGGAATTGCATTTGAAATTCAAAGGTAAGGGATGATGAAATAGGTGTCTACTGTTTGCTTTAATGATTCACATCCTTCTCGGACTGAAGGTAAGGTATAGGATAGGCTGAGTATTTAGGAGCGAGTGAAGTTCCTCACAGAGTACGATAATAGTCCTGCATTATCTCGTTCAGAACTTAGCTACTGGCAAATCTGCAAGTGTGCGTAAATTATTTTTCGGAATAGCAGCTTCGTATATTCTCTTCAAAACTCACATTGTCTGTTTATATCTGTTTTGTCATGCACTGTATGGATTTCAATTGTGAATTAATACAACGCTACAAGTACTGGCAACTTACTTGCTTATAATCATCATTACTTGCAGGCTTGCGGAATGTTAACAGCCAGATTGCAGCTTCTTTTAACAGAACGGGAGAATACATCATCAGTGCTAGTGAGGATTCCCGTGTTTATGTCTGGAATTCTGGAGCAAAAGATGCTCGAAGTACTCGCAAAGACAAATCTCAGTCTTACGAGCATTTCGCTTCTAGTCATGTCTCAATTGCTATTCCTTGGCCTGGAATGGGACCACAGCCAGACTTGTTGGCCGGTTCTAGTGAACATGATACTCCTATAGTTAGTTCACGACACTCAGGTAATGACAGCGGTGCATTGAGGTCATCCTTGAGATCTAGCCCAGGCTCTAGTACCTCTTCGTCAAGGTCAAATGCCAGCAGTCGAAGTGGTTCAGGTTTAACTAGTGAAAGTGTTGGGGAGTGCAAATCGGAGCAATCATCAACGTATCTAGTACGGAATGGATCTGTGGGTAGCGAGCATAACCATAGGGGAGACACGGCTGACGAAGAAGTTACATCCGGGAGAAGTGAAGCCAACAACGGGGGGTTGATTGGACTTTTTGACAAGTCTGATTCAAACCAAATTAGTAATTTTATGGAGTCTCCGGTTGGGGACTACAATGCCCCAAGGCATTGTGGCAGTTCACCTGCTCTTAGCATTTCCAATGACAGCCCGCCCTTGGAACAGTCTATGAGAAGTCCAAGTCCTAGCTTTTTTGCAGACAATTTGACACCGAAAGGGTCTTCTTCCTCAGCAACATGGCCTGAGGAAAAGCTCCCTCCCTTCAGAGACTCTTCGGGTCACCAAAGGTCACATGGAGCATCTTGGAGTGCATCGTCTCCATCTCAAGAGGTTGTCAATACTACGGAGGTATCACCACCGGAAGGAGAAGCCCCAACCACTATAGCTGCAGTGGCGAGCTGGGGCCTGGTTATTGTTACAGCTGGTACTGAGGGTGAAATTCGCACCTTCCAAAATTATGGGTATCCCATACGGCTTTGACTTAGCTTAATTATCAGAGTCATCATCATCATCAATATAGATTTATTTTTTATAAGGAGAAAAAATTCATCAGTCACCCGGTTTTGATGCTGCTGCTGCTATTATCTCTGCTATTGAGGTTATATAGCCATTGGCCATTTGATATCACTTATCTGCACTTTACATTAAACTCACACACACATACACACCACAAAGCATCTTCTTTATCTATATCTTTTCCTACTGACGTTCAAGCACCCACAGTTTGTCTTCAGATTAGAATGGGCTTGCTTAAAGGCTGTCAGTAGGAGCTGGACTGGTTCTTAGCATCGGTCAGCGATAACGATAAGCTCAATATATGTTCATTAGCTTACAATGTCAGCTTTGCTCTAGTCACATAGTTAAGTGCAGCCTATGCTCAGATCAGCAAGCTTCTAAGTAACAGCTTCTGAGTTGACCGGGTTGTGTAATTCATGTTGAGAAAATTTTAGTCACAAATTAATTGCTTTACGATTGAAAGCTTTAACCTCCATGTTCTTTTGACGGATGGATCCAGAACAGAACTGGTGATGCCGAAGACTGCTATTGGTTTCGCGATAATTTGTACTACTGCTTGCACATGTGCCGCTGATATATTCATCTTCTTCGTCGTCCTTCTCCTCCTGATCATCTTCATCCATCGACATTGGAAAGGATGATCCCATCCCCTCCCCTTCTATCCCGTTTGTTTTGGTAAATCTCTCACCCAGTCTTCTGTCCAGGTCGAAAGTGAATTGACTGAGCAGAGCGCAGATGTATCGAGCTGGTAGTTCTTGTGATGTTGACTTCGTTGTCATCCAGCTGTCCGCATCCTCATCATTTCTCTTACTCCTGGTAAAATTGTCGTAGAGAAATTTAGATAAGTACTAATCGGAAGCCCATGGCAGACGTAGCCTCTATTTCAGCGGGAGTATTATGCTGCTTAGTAGACAATCATCATTCATCAGTACCGAGTACGTGTGCGCTTCCCTTTGGGTCGCAATTTCCGAGGATGCCTCTGTAGCCGTAGATTGTAATGCCGATAATCCGCTGAGTTGTCTTTACTGCCCTCCACGCCCATACTTAGTCTCTCCAGTGAATGATGTTTTTGGTGAGTCTAAATTTCGGAGGTGGGGCAGATCTCCCTCGATAGTCGCGATTAGGTTCTGAGTTCTGCTCTCAGTATCACATACATGCATCGTAGCTACAGCTAACTTACAAACACATCTGTGACAGTGAGGACATGTCTGTACAGATCCTGGCAACTCATTCAGATTGACTGAGATTGTCAGGATCCCAGGAGCGGGATTGTGGCCTATCAACCTGACTGCGGGTAGGTCATTTATCTTCTCGTGATGTTTCTTATGGCACTAGCTGGGATTGCGTCATTAGTTTTAGTTATGTGCACTCTTTTCCATGCGACTCTTCCTTCTCACATCTTCCTTTGTTCACTGGTAGCCCATTCTTCTGTAAATACATCATATGTTTGTGCCTCAATGGCAGGCACTGATGGTAGAGTACAGCTTCCGTGTAGGTGTAGGTTAAGTCAGGCCACTGCTCGATGAGTCAATTATGTGATTTTCGTACCTCAAAGTCAGCATGTATGAATATCTCGGCCTGAGCACCGAGTCCTTAAGAGCATTCATGACTCTATCGGTTGTCTACTTAGAACACAATTGGATGTTTCCATCGGGCCTGCACACACAACACCCTTACATCTAAAAGGCATCATTTTTTTAAGTCTCAAGGACTTGTTTTTTTTTTTGTAGGTTTGAGTGATATTGCGGATTTGGCCAGTACGTGTGTCTTGTATCAAAGATTCCCTTCAAAGATTCCAACTCAGACATGGACACGCGACGCTATTCTTACTGCTGTACATTGTAACGGAATTACTGCTTTACTGCAAGAACTTGTACTGTACGGGAATCTTCGAGGACTGAAGTACATTAGTTGGTAGAATGGTCATTTCCTTCTCCCCTTATTTTCTTAACTGTCTGCACCTTCATATTTTTAGCTGTACAATTATCCCAGTTGCTCTGACTCTCAACTCCGCAGTAGGCTTTGAATTAAATATATAAATCTAAATAATAGCATACTTACATCACACCGAAATATACTGGAATCGTCAGAGTTGAAGTTTTCATTCTTCACGTCGCGGTGGACAGCACATGACGTGATATTTACATCAAAATCGTTCATAGGATTGAATCTGCACTTATGCATCTCACTAATTGCATCACCAACAGTTGCTCTCATACTTCACGTTGATATTTACGTGATTTTAATACAGCGACTGACCGATGTCATCGGGTGAACACTTAAGGTGTGATAAGCTTTGTCTGGGTTGGAATAGTATTCTGTACTTTATTCGCTAGTTGCCACAGGAAAACCTGCCTCCGGACGCGTCTTGATCAGTTGTAATGTACGTTTGTATAGATGATTCTCAGATCTCTGTCTTGAAGTCGAAGTAGAAGTCGATTGACAACCATCATTTGTTGTGATCGTTTAAACGCTTCACTGGTGCGAAAATCGATTATTGCCTTCTCTACCAAACTTCTGCGCACGACGAAATGTCTTGATTTATGTCATCCACGACATGTGAATTATATCGTGGATGTTGTTTTAACTGCGTTTTAAGCGATCACAACTACGTTAACATGTGGCAGGTGTTTTCAAGGATTTGATTGATTTGGCAGTTTCACCTTCTAGCAAGATATAATTGAAAAACTGTTACAGATACTGCTGAAGCTTTCACAATTGCACTCGGTAACATGTACCTCAATTATGATGTAGATTGCACTGGTTGAGACTAAAAAAAGTGGTGTTTCCACAACACAATTTGATCTGTACGTTTGACATTGAAGGTTTGACAAATACTTGCCATTATCTCCAAATAATTACAAAAACCTCAGATGTTGTTCACCTGGTACATTCTTGCGAGTAGTTATGGACATGCTACGGTTTGAGATGAAAATATGTAGTTAGGATAGGTTAGACAGTAGATTAGTTAAAGTAATATATCGTACATGGTTATCAGTACTCTATACATGAAACTTTCCGTGTAGTCCGTATTTATACGAAATACGGATTGTCACCAAAGCAAAATACATAATATACGGTGATTGGCATTAATCTCCAATGTTTTCGTCAGTCACGTACTAATTTTACAGCAATGTGGTAATTCTTCGAGTACATTGGTGTTATTTTCGATTTATAAAGTTACGTTTCTCATTTCTTCATTTGAGAAGAATTGGTTAATACTCCAAATAACAAGATAATTTGAGGTATGTTGTACTTCTAATGCTCGGAATAGCCAAACATAGCTGAAGTCATTGCAAAGTATTTGTCTGTGGCAACCAAAGCTCCTTGTGTTGTTACTCTATTTGATCAATGGAGTTTTGTTTCCAAGAAATATTTCAAACTGATCTTAATAATTTAAAACTGTTTGAGATAAGCAAGAAGTCAAAACATTGTAACTTGCTCGATTCATCTTGTCAACTGTGGCTGCAGCTATGATTAGATTACATATTGTTCCCAAAAGAATTTCATCAACTGCATGCAAAACTTCATATCTTGATTGTAAATTCAGTTCTTTCGACAATTGGGTTGAAAGAGTTCTTGATCTTGGATTAATCCGATCAAATTGGCATGAGTGGTCTATCATTGCCCAAAATGTAACGATGACAATTGGGTAGAAAGAATTCTTGATCTTGGGTTGATTTGATCAAATTGGCATGATTGATCTATCATTGTTCAAATGTAACAATGTTGTTGGCTAGGATCAAATTAGTCTCGTCGAGATAACACTATCTTATATGAAGTACAAAATACAAAATGTTCTAATCTAGCCAATAAAAATTGAAGAAGTTACTTTTGCTGTTGCAAATTGAATCTTCGTACTTGCAATTCTTTGATACATTCATTAACATGTACTGAAACCTCTCATCCCACCGCATATTCTTGGTGGATTTTGACCAAAATTCACCAAGAGGATGGAAGTATCAATCTGATCAAAATAAATCATGATTTCATATACTCTTTTGACCAAATTGTGATATGAACTACATTGAGATCCAACAGATAAATTGGGACACTAATATCAATGAAATTGATAAAAATCTTATAAAACTCATAGTCAATAGTTTTGTAAATCTTTTGAATCACGATATCAATCTAATGAAGAAGCCACAATACACGAATGAAATATGATCTGACGACTTTCTGAATACGCTTGACAACTTCAAGTAAATGTCCAATCATATTAGTATCACCGTTGGTTTAAGATCATATTAGTAGCATCATTGGTTTATCATCTGATTAACTTGTTCTTACGATTAGCTTGTGTTTTTTTATTAGTTTGATAGACTTTAACAAACAATTTCAAAAACATCTCTAACATGATCAATTCAATATGTTGATAAAAAGATCAAAATCGTAATAAGGTGAAGATTTCCAAGAGATGATTTTTGATAGAATCAAATTTAGACATCAATCCAAGATACTATTTGCAGATCACAAGACTAGTCAAAGATCATAGAAAAGGTTTATTTGGAGTGCAAAATATATGTGAAATATCAATTGATACGATGTTTGTGATTCTAACATACGAAACAACGAGGTAATCACGGCAAGAAATCCGTTTGAGAATTTCACATTACTCTTTCTCATCCTCAACATCATCACAACTCATCTTAAAAAACAATTCTTGGGCAACAACGCGCATTATCAACTTGAATTGCTTTGTCTGGATGATTAGTATGCAATAATTGTCATCTTCGGGCGATTTGCAAAAGTAATTGCATTTTTTTGAGATAGATCATCCAAATCGCTTTGATGCCAGAGCATTTTGCCAATAATCACGTCAAAAGTTAAAACTCTAATGACAAAAGTCATCATGGCAAATTGAATTTAAAAGTTTTGACAAGTAGTTTCGGCTTGTTTGACAAGAACATCAAAATACTTCAATGTCTACTCTAATAAGAGCTTTTGAGAATTCTAATCTAACTCGATGGTTAATGTGAAAATGCTTTGTGTAGTTATAAGGTCTGAAGAAGATTTTTGTAATGTCCATTATTCAAAGATTTTTAAACAAATACTTAACGTACAAAACATATATAGAATCTACTGCGAATGGCAACAACTTTGGAGGATTAAGAATAACCATATGCAATGTAGATAGCATAATGTAAAAGATGTTTGGGCTGAAACTACTACTTTGTAGCAAAATTGATACCATTGGAGATGAAGGAATGTAGCAAATGACAAAAAATGCAATTAGATCAAACGAGAAACTGAGTGGTTGGCCTACAATGTGATAAATCAAATTGTATGTTTACTTCAGTTCAAAAGATATATGAATAATTTTTTATCACATAAAAAAAAATTTATATATTTCTTGAAATACGAAAACTCATGGTAGCAAATTACAGTATGTACAAAATGTATGAATAGACTTCAGTATTTAGAAATACCTGTCTATCAACAACATTAGTTGATTTTAAATTTAATTTACAAGTAGAGCACACAAAGAGTTTTTTGCTCTTGCTTAATTATTTGAAAGAGGAAAATTAAAGAACAAACTCAATAGACAAGTCCAAATCCCATATTTCTAATCTCATATTTTTTGCTTAAAAAATAATACACATTCATCAATTTTGGTTTCTTTATGTATTAAGGCTTTTCAATTTGCATCCAAAGACTTTGAGGAGAAATTGATTTACTTTTTTTGGTTTGATACATCCAATTTACATCTTCAATATAAAATTTAGAAGCATCAAATGTTCACATGAATCTCTGTAACTTTTGAAATTAACGTATATTTAGATATGATATCATTTGAGATCTGATGTATAACCCACGTAATATTCTATATCTTGAGTGCAATAGACAGTATATCTTGAAAACCATCTTTTGAAATTGGATATTTCATAATACACAACATAGACTGAGCGAAGCGAATCAGGTTAGAATAATTTTTTTAATTGATTGAAATAGTTAGTATCATAATAATTATTATATTTATATGAAAAATATTTATTCAAAATACGACAGATTCAAAGACAAGTAGATAAAAAGATGGAAAATGAAGTTCCAATAGTCGAATTGTTCAACTATATCAGGATGAGAAGATGTCAACGTTTTGTTACTCTATACTTAGATTTCATAGTGAACTAAGGATGAGTTAAATATGCTTGGATGAGAGAGTGCGCAAAAGCCTACCACTTTGAGGGTAGACGTATGACTTACGTTAGTAAATTTTGAAGAATATTTATCGAATAAAAAAATTCCATCGTTGCAAAGATAACACTAACCAATTATATTTATAAAAGAATAATCATGTTAATGACAATATGCTAGTGTTGTTCTTAAACTTGTTGATATCTTAGGTGAAATATATTATGTTACAATGTGACTTTATCGCATGTGAACCATATCTATAAAAGATCAATAATTAGACTATACATTCCACAACATGCTCTTTTTTAAGACTTGTTGATATTCTAGATTTGCTTATCTCAGGTGAAATAAAATATATTTTATAACGTGAAGATGTTGCACACGTACCCTTTGTTAATCATTACCTGGTTTGATTGATTTCCCATCTTTTCTGTTATACTCCTTGAAAGGTGTGAGAAAGGATTGCATGATATACGTGAATCGGAGGATAAATATGAATACTCCAACGTGTGCATTTAATTTCTAGAAACTATGATTTAAGGTCTCTAAACTGACTCGGACGTCTTCCAATACTCCAAATCAATGAATCTCCGAATCTTATTGCAAACGTATGCAACATTTGTCAATTTGTGAAGAGCTTGTATAGATAATCAACAGAAATGTAAGGACAATAGGTGTATTTCATACCAAGAATTATGAGGAATGTAAGAACGAATCTTAAGCTGATAAGAGACTCATTAAGTAAGTACAAAGTAAAGTACATTGATTACCACCTGTTAGGTCCAATGGCTTTATCCAACGACAAAATGGAGTTCATTTTAGCAATGATTATCGCGTTAAGAATTAATGAGTGTAACCCTTCTCATTAGCGCCACAAATGTTCACCAAAGTAATTTTACGTAAGCACGTGCCCCTGCATATGAACGAAAAGGGGACTATTACGGCAAGATCATCGAGTATTTGTAATAAAATATGAATATCAACGTGAATCCAAACACCATTTGTGGGGGAAAACTCGAGATTTGCATACCGGAGATAAGCTTCGTACTTTTCTGAAGGCACTTTCAGTTGCAAAAATTGGGTATGTGTAGAATTAGACTGCTCCCCTCTAAACAAAAATTTGGAGTTAATATTGATTACCTGTTCCAGTATACGGGCTTGTTTTATCAAGCTCTAAACAGCAAAAGGGCACTGTCTGTAGCCAGTTAAGAACACTCTAGGAACCCTCAAGTTGTGCAAGTACCCACGTAACAAACTCCGAAAACCAAACACGTTCTACTCATGGTTTTATTCAGCTTATAAGTCATGTACGTTGGCTTACACAATGCCAGAATAATTTTCTCTGAAACACTACAATTACACAAACGAACTCTCTATCTCCAAAGAATATCTGGTTCGCCTTTCTAAATCGCCAGTATACTGTTCAAGTATGCAGCTGCAATTCTAATACTGGTGACCTCGTGACGTTCTTGCGACGGGTTAAGTCTCAATAAACTACAATGGTACATGAACCTCGTCTAGGATGTCTGGGTTGAGATAGACGACACGCTTTTCAGCTTCAGTTCACAAGCCCCCAGCTTTTCCATTGCTTCGGACAGACCTGCTCAAAGACACAAGTAACGATGAAATCGGATACAAACAGAAGCATGTTCAACTTTTTTGGCAGAAACATTATTGCACGTGAACATGAGTAGAAGTCCTCCTTCAAAGGCAAAGAACATATTGTGAATGAACGTTACCTGGGGGATTCCGGAAGTCTGGCTCTATCCCGTTCCCATCTATGTCGATATGGCCAGGTGTTACATACTTCCCAACAGTAAGAATTATTCCCGATCCATCACTCAACTCATATACGGACTGAATCAAACCCTGCAGTTAGATAGACCGTTCAGCCAAGTCAAATTTACTTCCTGATAGAGGATATCTTCCAAAGATTTTCTCCCGTATTTTAAAGCAAAAATCTGTATGAAGTGTTCTGCGCAATTACATGTTTCATTCTCTTTACCAAGACATCAGATAAAATTGCCAAGTACAGATATATACAGAAGATGTGTAACAAATGGGACGTAGACATACTTCTAGCACAGAAGTTCCGAATTACGTACTGGATAGATTCAAAAGCATAAGGTGGACAATCAAAGTGAATCAGTTTGAGTAATCAATCGAAGTGATTTACTTAGAATGTCCACCTCATGGTTTTATACCGATCTAGTACATCTTTCAAAAGTTCGTACTTAAAGCTGCAGGAGTGACCGAGAATACGCAACAAAAAACAAAACACAAGCTCAGACGGGATAGTACCGTCCAAAAGATCGCAATTACCTTCCCAAATGTTCGATTTCCTACTAAAACAGCTCGGCAGTTATCATGCAGAGCCGCAGCTACCTGTCGTGTACAGACCGAATTTCCTATGCAGTTAATACTGAGTGTTGCCTCGTATCATTGATAATATCCTCCTAAGTTTTATAAAGTTAACACTTGAAATGTGAAGGCTTATTCATTGTCCTGACTGAGACAGAGTGTAATAGTTGATGGCTCTTACAGGTTTCGTTAATTACCACGAACAAAAAAAATGCGGCCAATATGATCAGTATCTAATTAGCAACTACGAAGAAACATTTATACTTTCAACGAAGGGGGTAGTGACCAACAATTTCACTCGCACTGGCTGTACGGTCGTTAACGAGAACCTGCAGCCATTCCAAACCCACATCCAAGAGATGTCCACATGAGTATTATACCTTCTCCAACGTTAAAAGATTACACCCACAGAACAAACAGCCCAAGGACGGCACAACTCGTAATGTGCACTTGAAACCGATCAGGGCCGGATAACTCTAACAACCTCTGACATCGGTGTGAGTATATTAATCCTCATCGGACTCGATAACAAAGAGTCCTCAAGAAAGCCGTGATAACTTTGGGGCAAAGAGAAGTAGTTGTACCATCAGGGGGGCTTTGGTCAACGCCACACCTGAAGCCATGATATTTTTAAAAATTGTCGGATCCCTCCCTACTGTCTGTATCACCTGCTCATGTTCGAGAAAACCACCGGTAAAAAAAATGCTCAAGTTATGAAGCACATGGTCATCTCGTTTCGTATGTGACTTCCAATGTGAAATGAAATATATTTGCAGCTTGTCAAGATAAACATAGCGATACAGGAAGAGGCATAAGCGGACAAAGGAGTGTACCGTTTCACCTCCATCGAGAAATAGCCTTGCGATCTCTATCCCTGCCTGGGAAGAAAGAAACAAAACAAGTGTTAAGACCAAGAGTTAAGTAGGAGAAAATAACTTCAGAGAATATTTTCCTGTCAGAGCCTGACGATGCAGAACCGGCGGTTCTAGACTGGAAAAAGACACTGAGATGAAGCCGAAGAACTACATGAGAGTAGTACGTAAATTCGGAGCTTCCAGGTGTCGAACAACAACTAATTCAGTAGCTCATCCACCTGCAGAGTTTGTTGGCCCAAGCGAGCAGCAACTTTGGGATTGGTATCAAGGCCAAAGAAAATCCAAGTATGTATATCGTGCCCATCAGCTGAGAATGTTTTGTCATGTCCATATCATTCTGTCAAATGTGATGCTCACCAGATAATCGATATGGAATTGTCTTCTACATCAAACAGTGTGCACGAAGCAAATTGACTCCCCATCTTTATCCTTGTGGGTTGATAGAAAAACAGTCGTGTCGACACTTGAGTTTCTACTTTGTTTCCAGGCATGGAACCCTCTGAAGTGTATATATGAAAGACTGAGGGTTCAGGGTATGACGTGGACAACGAGAGGCCATATTGTGAAGTGCATTAGCTTCACAGAACATAGAATATATGAACATGTGGAAGCTCGAGCTTCTCCAATTCTTTGGTCTCAAAGTTTGTACTTTCAATTATTTTGCACCAAACGTTCAATTTGAGAATTACTAGGAATGGTTTATAGCGAGTTACTGTGGATATCACCATATGCATAGAGATGGTTGGTACCTGAACCAGTCCACCGGGATTGTCTTGTAGATCAAGTAGAAACGATGTGGCACCAGCATCCTGTAATCTCTTCATAGCTGCACCGATTTATCAACTCAGTTTACCGCTCTTACAGCGAAAAGAGCAAGGAAAGCAGATAACAGAACAAATGGATCTAGTCAAGCAAATTGGTTTTTGAATGGTTTGTGTACCAAATCACAGGCAAATTTTGAAACGGATCTCCATGAGCCCGTGCAAGATAACTGGGGCAAAAAGACTTTCAAGCCAGTACATGAGGTCAAGCTCATGGGCGCGCTCACGAACACGACAAGGAGAGATAACACCATTAGTCCCATTCCAGCTTTCAGTTTTCTCAACAATAATATGCACCCTTCTTCCTAAGAAGTGTACAAGATGTGCAGGTCAGCTTACCAGTGACAAGATCTCTTTTTGCTAAAGCATTGAACTCCTTCAAACGGATGTATCCCATAAGCTGACGAGGATTTTGTGTCCGCTCTAAGCGATAGAACACTGGTGTCCGGACATCCTGCTCCCTCGGTACTGTAAGGTTTTGCACCTCCTCACACGGCCCATGCCTGATCTGCAACTATATCACAGTCAATATCTCCTTTCGAATTTGAACTAAGGGCTGCTGGGTATTTTCATAACGAATAAGGATTCAGAAATGAACTGGACCTGGATTGTGACGGGAGTACCCTTTGGGCCTTGTATAAGAGAAGCCGCTTCAAACGCACTCATCCCGCGAACTGCAGTCCCATTTACAGCAATCAGCTCGTCACCCTGTATACAGACGAGAAGGATCAACCAACAAATACCCAGCCTTCATTGTGACCTGTATACCCCAGGACTTATAGTTGATCCAAGGACCTAAAGCCTTCCGTGACATGCCTATGGAGTGCCAAACAAAGAAGCTAAACGGTTACATCAGGCTGGATGTTGCCTCAGTTACATTGAGTACCAGATAACCACAACACTGTTTCAGTGCCCTCTCAGAAACAGCTCAAATCCAAGAGCGTACAAGGCCGTAGACTTACGCACCTGTCTCACACCCATCGTTTGAGCAGGACTGCCGAGGACAATTCCAAGAACCCGGAGGCTAGTGGTTCCATTGACCTCAATCTCGCCAATATTGAGTCCCACTCCAGTCACGTCATATTTCGACAGCTGTAAGAACTGGAGGGAATCATCCAAGAAAACTCGTTCAAATAAGATCTTATAAAAGTGCAGGTATCGAATATGCTAATGCTCGGCGAGCAAGGAAGTAAAAAGTGGAGTGCAACAATTGAAAGATCAGACTTGTGCTTGAGTTTGAGGAGAAAGAAGTACAACTAAACAAATCGGACTACAAATAGGACTACAATCGGATACATCACATGCATGCCCGATCTGGCTCAAGTCACGGAAGCAACTGTCTTCGGTTAAGTAAGAAAACCTGATCAGGTGTCAAAAAGCGAGTGTATGGATCGTTCAAAGTTGCCAGCATGCTCCTGATAGCTCCATAAGCTGCCATTCTACTTCGAATGGGCCTTTTCAGAACGTCCTCCTTTTGCCTCTGATACATACTACACGTCTCGTGAGCTTGAGGGAAGAGATAATTGAGAATGTTCTTTGCGATCCGTTTGAGCTCATGACGGATGCCAAAAACAGCAGAATCAACGCCGATAATACACCATACAGCTGATGACAAATCGCTGGGCTTCCTGTGTCCGGATTTCAGAAAATTGGTGAGGAGAGACAAGTAATTACCAGCCAGTCCTCCGCGGACCACGAGTGCCGACGTGCATCCAAGAAATTCTCATTCACAACCTCCCACGCTTCCTCCACTACAGACTCGTTTGTAACCGGTTCGGAGCTCCTGCCAGCTTCCTCTTCAAGAACAGCCATTGAACTAGTGGAGCATTCCGGATTGCTGAGTTCAGCTGGCCTTCCAATTTCTGCACTTGGTTGCGAGGAAGGTAATCCTTCTCCGGTATCCAGTGATGAAGAGACAGACCTCACCTGAGAACTTGAATCGGTTGTAACATCGCTGGGAAGTGATGTTACTTCAGTGGAAGAATTTATGTCTACGCTCAGGGGAGCTCCAAATTGTTGTGAAAACTCGCCGCTCGAGACATTCGTGCTTGCAGCATTCACTGTTCCCTGCTCCGAATTGTTGGTGCCAAACTCTAGCGCCAACACGAATTCATTGCAGAATAACTGAAAGGACGACGCGACAAGTACAATAGCAGCAAACTGCTTTATTTTTCCAAACACAATTCCAGTCCTCTCCCAAATGGCAGTCGGTAATTCATGACAAACTTCACTTCCTCCCGCTGCGTTTGGTTGTGAATTGTCAATCAGAGCACATCGAGCGAGACTCGACGAGAATCCGTTCGAATGAGGAAAAATTTGCTCTCTCGCAACCAAGAGCTTGGCCCGGACAAGCTTTTTACTCGTGCGGCAGGGGACACCGAAGACTCCAGCACCTGACGTCGAAGAAAAGAGCGAGAATCGACGGGATTGGGCAGCGACAACAGAATCTCGTGCTGGAGCCACTGCCGGGCTGGTCCAACGACAGCCGGCCCGAGAACTTGCCATGCTCGCCATGGCAAGCTGCGCCAATTTCCCGAATCAGGGAAGAGCTCAGAATGCGAGCGAGCAGCGCCAGTGTCCGCAATTTCTGCGGCAAGGAGCCCAGTGCCGTTGGCACTTCCGTGCACGGGGACGGGGACGGCGCCCGCGGCCTGCGTTGCGGATGAGTTCCGGTCACAATTCTGCTGCTCTGCTTGTCGGACCGACGGACGGACCGACGGACCGACCGTCGCCTGCTTGCTACAAAAACGTTGTTCCTTCCGCCTTCCCACTTCTCCGCCCTGGAACAGTTTTCACGGGCCAAGAGTCGTGTCTTATTCCATCTATATATATTTTGAAAAATATTTTAATTATTTTTCTTAGACTTTCCATTTCGAATAAATTTTAACATCTAATATAGTGAATTATATCAAATAATTTATGTAATAAAATATATAGATACTTTAATGGTTCATCTTTCAAGAAGAAATGTTTCATAACATGCACATTAACCCAAAATATATGGCCCGCAATTTACATGTTTATGGGATAATTACAAGTTTATTGGATCGTATTTCGGTAATACATGACAGGAACCAAGAGGTATAATCTAGCCAGAAACGTAGTCATGATGATTTACTTCTAGTTTACACTTTTGATTATTGTGTCACTATGCTTTCATTCCTTTGTATCATAAAATATGTACTTCAACTCTCGAAATTTTGGTAATGTAAATTTTTCAAGTCTCTGGACGTGAAAATTGTATTAATGGGTAGATTTATAGGCAGAAATTAATTTTTATTATAAATATAATCTTTATATGCAGCATACGCTTCTCATTACTCCTCTTTATTACAAATGAATAATTAAACCGACGAAGTATAACAAGACGTCATACTGCATCAAAACATGTAATCTCATGTTTGCAGAAAGGAACTATATCATACACAGAATAAACATGATATCATTCTACAATTCAAATACTTTGATATGAAAACTTCTAATATAATTCCTAATATACTGCCCAAACTTTGATAGGTTATGCATGTTACCTTGACATGCTAATGAGATTTTCTGTATTATTCAAGTTTATTGAAAATCTCATCTCGTAAGAATATCTAAGGCAGTTTGACAAAGAATTAGAAACAAAAGGCTTACATGATTATATATATTTGAATCATGTGTCTAAGTCGCGAGGTCATGTATAAGACTACAGCAAATTTAAATTTACAAATAAGTCTGCATATGTAGTGATGACAATTGCAACTTGTGATCGTATTGGACTAAAAATCCGATGAAACACTTGGATGTTAGGAAAAGAATGCAACTTTGATTCATCAGCCTAATACGAATTTCTTCTAATGAGCTAAATTCCTTCCATGAACCAAACACACAGGCCGAAATCAAAACTCATTATAGGATAACTAATTGAGGAAAAAACTGCCATTTTTAGCCATGGTGAAATTTAGATTGCAGGGTTTTTTACTTAGTAACTACATACCCTTATATTTCAGTTTCCATATCCATGATTGGATAAAGTACACCCTTCATCATACAAAATTGGAAGTCGATTTGTTAGTGTTAAGTTTTCATTCATGTTACAGCATAGATTCAGATGTAGAACTTCCATTTTGCTTGACCGAAGTGACGGACCACAAATCAAGGGAATCTACAACTTCCTATCACTTTTGGAAATCATGGTTTTCGCGAAACATTCATCTCATGAGAGAATATTGTGCAGTGAAGGTCGAGCACTCTGTGGAGTACAACTGAGCTATGAATGAAAAGGCATCAACTTGAATTATTGTCCAGCATCATACCCGGAAAAATCATCTTAAATTTCCTCAACGATTAATGCACTTTCATCGATGATAAAATGCTCACAACCGCATGGGTATACGTGATACAACACAATCCTACCACTTGAATTACGCAACAGGTTCAGCGAGTGTCTTCAGAGGGACTTTTACTCATATTGTGAGTTTATGAAGTACAATATTGGACAATTCTGACTAAATCCAATTGTCACATTTCCTACTCGGTAAGAGTTCCTCCAATCGAGACCGAAGGACCTTTACCACCATTCCGAAAGCTTTCCCAACTTCCTCTTCTTCTGTTTCAGCCAAAGAAATTACTGCTCAATGACAAATCTATTACTGGAATGATATAGCTCGAAGGAGAATCACCGTGATTCCTAGACAAACCCATGATCTCCAGATTGCCAACAAAGTTGCTTCTATCTGGATCCGATATTGAAGGCTCCGAGATCTGCTAATTTCCAGTCATTGCCGAAGCTGTCAGTGGACGGCCCCTGACGGCTGAATCTCAAGTTCGATCAAAGGCATCGAGCGGCGACGAACCCGGTGAATGCAACGATCATGCTGGTGACGAAAGGTGCCGGCAACAAGCCCGAGGCTGCCGACGTTCCCATGGGGCCTGGGGCGGGGGCGTGTGCATGACCCTCGTGTGCCAGAGCGAGTCCGACGCTGGACACTGCCACAGCTGCCACCAAAACCTTGGCCAAAGCTGATCGCATGGTTGAGGCCATCGTATCTGACTGACTGTCGGAGTGTAGAGAAAGAAAAAAAAGGGTCGAGCAAATGGAACGGTGTATGAGAAGATTGTGATAGAGCTTCTCGTTCGAGTAGAGTTCACCTGTCGACCGATCGGAAGGACTGAGCGTCGATGTGGAGCAACTCTGACTCGAAGGAGAAGACGGAGGGAGGCGAGAAGCGGAAGATGATGATGATGATGATGATGAGTACTGATTCACAAAATTCCTCATTTATACGACATCGCCCACTCAACCGAGCGAGCCTTGGCATTCTCCCCGATCTGTACAGAACTCGATGATCCAGCGCTCTACGATCACGAATCGATTACAACCGCACTGTACAAGCCCGAACGACGCTCCCCACTCCACGATCTTGACCCGCTTTCGTTGCGTGCCAGCCTCTTGACACCTCACATTGTTTATTCGCTCGCTCACATACACTGCCTACATCTCTGATCTCACCTTTTGCCAGCTTAGCCAGCGTAGAGGGCGCTCTCCCCCCAACCCCCGCTCTCGCTGTACGATGAGGCTTAATTGTACGTAAGGTGAATCTAAGAACTTCAATCTCTTCCTACCTTTTCTTTTTAATTCACCTCCGTGTCTAGCGTTACAATGTTCTGCTCCAGCAGCTGCGATTTCTCTGATTTCCTTCTGCAATTTGCGCCAACAGTGCCTGCAAATAGACACTGAGTTGTTCATGTTCACTCCGGTCAATGCTCCTTCCCTGGTTCCTGGTGAGCAAGCACTCCAACAGCCAATTTCAGATGAAAACGGTCCAGACCAGGAATTTCGAGTCCAGAAAGGTAGTACGTTCTGACAGGACAGTGATCTCATGGCCTCGTGATAGTGGAGCAGAGCTATGGGAGTATACCTCGGTTACTTAAATTTGGAATGCAGTCGGCCACGACTTGTACAGGCAGTAATCATTCCCTTTCAGGCAGGAGATTGAACTTGATACTTGCTTGATGCAGAACAGAATAGCACGTCCTGTACTGGATCCTATGTCGACGGAGTCCAGTAATTTGCGAAGGTCGAGTCGTTTATGATGAAAACTTACGCTGCATTAGTTGACTCCTCTCTGTTTGAGAGGCCGATTCGGGTCCTCTCGAGACAGGCAATTATACGGACATAGTAGAGAATGGCTGCCGCAAGCTGCCAGATCTCAGTAGCTCGTCTTCCCCGAACCTTAAGGCTTTGATTTCGCTTCACTTCACCGACAGACAAGTGCCAGAGAGCCTGATTGATGAAAGATCGATAGTGGACAGTGACATTTTTCGTCCGCTGGCACATGCTCGAATATTGACCGGCCCTTATATATATAGTTTGGTTGTTCAGCAGGACTCGTCGTCTTTCACTTTCTCCTTCCCCATCATCTTTCGCAGTCGAGTTGTTTGGTGATTGAACATTTTCCGAACCGAATTCGTCGACCACTCAACAACTCTACTCGATCGAGAAGCTCACATACATCACCCTCTTCCTACCTATTTTCACGTTCCAGTTCTTACATCTTTACCTCGAGTTCGTTTACAGGACGGCAAATGGCTTCCACCATGCGATCAGCTGCCGCTAGAGTTTTGATTGCCGCTGTGGCAGTGTCCACCGTTGGAGTAGCTCTAGCACACGAGGGCCATGTACACGCCCCGGCACCAGCACCCATGGGAACGTCGGCAGCTTCTATCTCGCTGCCAGCACTAGGGGTGGTGACCAGCCTGATGGCTGCCATCACCGGATTCGTCGCAGCTCGATGGCTGTGATCGAACTTGATGGCCTTAAGTCGAATGTCTACATGTTCGCACTGGCCTGCATTCTTCTCCGGGTGCGTTGCAGCAACTCCTCCCAGCACAATAGGAGCTTGGAATGGGATTTTTGTTGACCTTGACCTGCATTTGTGTTCCACGTTAGGCGATTAGAATCAGAGGACTCCGCCATCACTAAAAGGTCGTTTAGTGGCAAAAGCGTTTGAGGAAAACGGTAGACCTATCATGGTGGCAAAGTCAGTACATATACTTACAAGACAGTGATGTGGACATTTTCGCTGCATGATGAGACTGAATATTAGACCAGCGAGTCAAAAAGACATTTGATGATGTTTAGCTGAAATCACGTTTGGAATCAGTAAAGACCTTGGCCAACCCAGTTTGCAACACTGTGTTCTTTTTGGAAGTGTTTCTGAATCCGATTTGCATATTTCGGTCTGCTACCATTATCAATTACCTTCATTTTGTGCATTTAACTCCCAATACTAGGAAGGAAGTGCACCTTAACAGTATTTTAATATACCGGAGAAGAGCAACAGCAGGATCCAGTTCGTTGGTTTGAATGCACATTCTGGTGGCACTACACGCAGATGGTCATGTCTGATTGTGTCACGCGGTTTCACTTTGCCGTCATGAACACAATGTCCAAGACAATCTTCTCTTTCGTAAAGTTTTCAACGCAGCTGCAAATTCTCTCAAGCTCACTGAAAGTTCTTGGGTGTGCGAATCTGCCGTCACATTCATAATACGAATTCTGAAGATTCACCTCGATAATACCACATAAGCACAAGACACAGCAACCATCATCAGATCTCTAGTAAACCACACCTTCTTATCTTTAGCCTACGCTATAGAAGAAAAAAGGTTGTTGAATTTCTTATTCAAGAAATTATACGATATTATATGCTTGACTGATCAGATGAAGTATATCGAGGTAAATGCTGTATGTGACAGCTGTCAAGTAAGCATGATGGAGTAATCGAGAAGTATTTCTTTCTCCCATCGATCCCCGAATTGAGATCGAAACTGCAAGTGGACGTGACATCACGAAGACATAGAAATCGAGGAATGTTTTCTATCCTTCTTTGACCGTCTTCTAGTCCTAGTACAAATCACGACCGATCGTTTGTGAACGAAACTCTGGAGGATCCCAGGACGGGCCTGCTGCCCTTGCCGTACTTTCATATCATTGCCTGCTGCATTTCTGATTTTAATGACGCCTCTCATAGCGGTCGAGAGAAATCGGTCAGCTCTCTTCTCAGTGAAATCTCCTTGTGCCTTGCCATAAGGATGTATGTCAGTCCGACAGAAGTATCCTCTAAAAGAAGCATGTGACCTTGGGAGAGCTTCCAGTCACTGCTGTGAGTCAGTAGCTTTCTCTTGAATGGCTAATCCTCAAGAGTAGTGCTAAGCACGAGTGTTATAGTATGTTCGTTGGATCGGTCTCTATACTTCAACTCTGATTTTCTAGCCTGGTTCTCCAAACTCCAGTAAATAATTTCGATATCTGGCACCGTTTCCAGATAGTTAGTAACACTTCGATTGTTAATAGCATTCACATTCCAGGCAAGAAATGATCGATTGGCAATCCATCATTAACAATCGATTGATCCGTCGTCACTGGGTAGTGATCTTTCTTGGCTCAAATGAATGTCCAGCTTCGGGATTAAGTCCCTCGACTCGGGCACCAACTGTCTTCAAGCAGGGCATTCCCCTGCTTGCTCTGCCTGACCTGGGTTGGAGTGCCTGTAACTTGAGATTTCCAGCCCGACTTATTATGCTTCAAATTTCCTTGGCCCGTCCCACATTGCCCTACGTCTCCTAAAAATACTAGACAAAGCAACCTCTGCTTTTAGAGGCTCTTAGTCTTCTCGCTACCTTTTCTCAGAGTACTGTATATGTTTTGCTTTGCTGAACGAAATTCTGGAGAAAATCACTAAAATCAATACACGGCCTATGTCGGAGGTGCAATGTTATAAGTTTGAGTCGTATGCAGTATGAGGGATCTGCTGCTAGTCTTTAATCACGATTAGATGTTCTTTGTCTCCTTACAGACTGCTTCGAAGACATATCAGACTATTTCTCTCGAGAATGGGTCTCGAAGTTCTCTGACTATTCCGTCTTTCAATGGCTCCTATTTGCAGAGCGTGAGAACCTCTCCGCTTGTATGCTCGTGATTCGCCTTCACCAAATTTTCCAGCGAAGTCTGATGAGAGTTAAGAATATGCTAAGCTCTTGGTCAGATGAATACTGATTACAACTCTGAGCGTAAGATGTGTATCACACTGGAGACACATTCGACGTTCTCTCTTATGATCATCACATCTATGCAGATATGGAAGCAGTTAGTGGATGCACACTTGACCAAACAATTTCTATGCTTGAAAGTCTTGATCTCTCGTGGGTCTAAGTATGGAATTGCTACTTGTTTGAGTCCACACTCCAGAGAGCGCGAGGGCCCTTCAATTGGATGGTCTGAGACACCGCTTTGACCATCCTTCTCGTCGTTCTACTCACTTCACATCCACATCAAGAAAACCGCACACGATGCTCAAGTTCATGTTAAACTGGCTGTCAGAACATTGGGGAAAGCATGAAGAGTTTTGGCAGATATGAAACCGTAAGGCAGATCTGCCTTACAGTTTCAATCAGAGGCTGATATGTGTGGAAACGAACATGATCGATGCAAAGAGATCTCTATCACTTCATAGCCCTCAAATCTCTCCACCTTTGCAACTTATGTGTAAGAAACAGACACAGCCACGACCATGTTAATATCTGGGTGTGTAGCCTTCTAAAATCAATTACTCTTGAAGATATTTTATTTAACCATGCGGATGACCAATCATCACTAACTGATTTCTCATGCAAATGCAACATCCAGTGTTTTTTCTCCACATGAGTTTATCAAGGAACGGTGCTTCAGAAGGTTCTTCCTACCAAGAGCTTCAATTTCTTAACTACCTATTTCTTCAATACTTCAAAAGTGTAACTCCCTTCTTTCGGAGCACTTTATCTAAGAGCACGACAGTAATTGACAGTAATCATAACATAAGACAAATAAGGAAGCTAATTTCTCCCTCTACGCTACTCCACTCTCTTGTGTTGCATTCAAATCTCATGTATCCAAAGGCGGATCGACAGGGTACACCTTTTCCATGGCTTCTGAATGCATCTTCATTGCTCCTCTAGAAAATAGAGATGCCGCCATGAAAGCCATTGTTCTCCAGCCGTAAAATACACATCACAGCCCACCGTCTCGTTGTCCTTCTGTTCAAACACTTGTCAATTCCCTGTGGATTCACCTGTCGAAAACGTTTGATATTCTTTCATCACTTATTGATTCACACATCACAAGGTTTGTCATAACCTCATACTGTGAATTAAGATTTATGAGAGATGTCATTTTCATCGACATCAAACAATGAGAAATAAATCAGAATCTTCAGTTCCTTCTAGCATTCTTTCTAAGCTTTATCTTCTCACAGTTAAAATGTGATAACCTGTTGAATTTTTTTCACGATATGCAAATTGAGATCCATAGTTATCCTATTGGCAAATTTCAAATTGCATGATAAGAAATAAATGGAGAGTAAATTTCATATAAAAATTTATCATTATTGAATGTTTTAATAATATCCTCACCATATTTTTAAATGATAAAGATAGAAAATTCTAATGCTAATCACAAACTTATCATGTATTGGCACCTTTTTACAATCCTAGTATTTTTCCTATTCATGTTTGACATGAACTGCATTTGAATCATAGGAATATTTTTTACAACCAAGATTTATTTTCAATGTTTTATTCTTTTCAATTTTGTCAGTCTTTTGATCGAGTAAAACGTCATGTTCCGTGAAGAACTAATATTTGAGTATTTGATCCGATAGATGGTTCTTTTGTTGTCTCATATTGATCACACGATCTTTTTGGCTCGAAATATCAAATTCATATCTACTCTCTCTTTAAGATTATTCATGTTATCATCTATTTCATAATAGTAAGGTGACAATTGAACAATGCTTACTTCAAAACATATTGAGGTTCTACAAATGTAACAAAGAGTAGCGCTTGTCTTATAATTATTTTTACCAGACATCAAAGTTGTGCATTGAGTTGCATGAGGATAATGTATGATGGTAATAGATCAATGAAACCTCTTTCGATACGTTCGATTTAAATCACTAACACTGCATTCGAGCTCTTGTTTATTTGCACACTAACCGTACAAAGGATGGGATTCGATTGGTGGTAACAACAATGATATTATAAATTTAAGATCCTTGAATTACATGATATACTTAATTCCCCAAAAAATGTATCAAACTGTGCTTTTATTCAGGATTGCGATCTTGAATGTTCAATTTTCAAATGGAACCACCATATCCGAGCTAAGTCCCATCATCGGTAGAATGCATCACTCCCGCAACGAATGACATGACGTAGAAGATAACTCAAAACTATGTGTACGCATTCCTCTATTGGTCAATGAAGCGTGTGGGCAGGAATACTTCATATACTGGAGTTCTTGCCCTGTTCTTTTACCAAAAGAACAATCTTCGAACAGTTACAGAAAGCTCTTGAAATTTGAAGAGATACCGAGCAGAGTATTCAAGGAGGGATAAAACAGACTTGGACTATTCAAACCTACTCACCAATTTTGAACCGTGTGGCTACGCATGAGACAAATCATTTGTTTTACACCAGAGTTCATATCACCAGCTACACAAGTACAAGGGGACCTCCCCAAGAATCCTGTTTGAAGGAAACTCTCTGCGCTATGGGCCTTAATGCAACGCAAAGCTGAGCCTTGTAATTAGCTCCCTACAATTCATTTGCTAAGAGTATAATTATTACGAAGGTTAGAAACAACCTCTGCACTGACCAAAACAAGAAACAAATATCCAAAGCTTCGAACAGGTTTAAGACATTTGGATCCCACAGGAAGGAATCATCCCTGTGCCCATATCTGGTCACGCAGATTCCGAATGCGAAGCGATGGAATGATTGAAACCACGGACTCAAGGTGCAGGGACCGAAGCACAAGATCATGAAATCTATCGTGAACGAACGGACGGGGCAGACATCCGCAGGTGCAGCCCCCTTTGAAGGAGGGCCGACGGTTTCAGCCGATGGACGTACGCATGTGGACACGAATGGTGAAACGGGATTCCTGCTGCTGTGCCCCTGCGCTCTCTGCCTGCACAGAATTTGAGACCGCTACATTCTGCGGCCGAGCGCTGCTCCCCCGCTCGCGCCCGCCTTTCCAACCTTGCAGTTAACTGCAGTTCTGACGCCCGACCTCTCGTGCACCGCGTACGGTTGGTTTGTGGCTGGGCTCGTGCGAACCCAAGGAAAGGGAAGCGAAGGGCGACGAGGGCCCAGGGCTTCGGTGCGCCTCCCAGCGCTCGCTCGCTCTCGAGCATTGCTCGTCTTCTCATCCCAATTCGTATTTAATTCTGTGGTCCGCCGCTGGAGTCGAGCCAGGCTTCCAGCAGCAAGCAAGCGGACTCTTCGAGTTGCTGCCTCTGCTGCTGCGAGTTGAGTCTGTAGCTTGAGTCGGTGTTCGAAGGGAGCTTCCCGGGGTGGACATTTTGTTGCTGGTACCGATTTCACCCGATTGCGAGGCTTGGCAGTCGTCGGTTGCACTTGGAGTGAAGAGAATCGAAATTTGAGGTAGTGTTGGAGTGTGCTGTCTGTGTGTGTCGAGATCTTTCAAGATGGGGGACGTCGCAAAGGATTTGGCAGCTGGTACGCTGGCCGGTGTGGCACAGCTTCTGGTGGGGCATCCCTTCGACACCATCAAAGTGAAGCTGCAGAGTCAGCCGAGGCCACCTCCCGGGCAACCCCCGCACTTCACCGGGGCGATGGATGCAGTCAGGAAAACAGTCGCCGCTGAAGGGCCCCGAGGATTGTACAAAGGCATGGGTGCTCCTCTGGCCACTGTGGCGGTGTTCAATGCTGTTCTCTTCACCTCACGAGGTCAGATGGAGACGCTTCTGAGAGATGCGCCTGGAGCTCACTTGTCGGCTGGGCAGCAATTCATTTGTGGAGCTGGAGCTGGATTGGCCGTCGCCTTCGTGGCCTGCCCTACAGAGCTCGTCAAGTGCAGACTGCAAGCTCAGAGTGCCTTGCAATCCGCTGCAGTCGTTGTCGAAGGCGCCCCAGCAGTTGCAATGGCCGGCGCCCCAGCTGCCACTGCTAGCGCTGCCGCCCAAAGCATCAAGTACACTGGCCCCATGGATGTCGCCAGACATGTACTAAGGTCCGAGGGTGGGATCCTCGGTCTGTTCAAAGGCATGACTCCTACTCTCATGAGAGAAGTACCCGGCAATGCTGCCATGTTTGGGACTTACGAGGCGACGAAACAGCTGATTGCTGGTGGAAAAGACACTTCACAGTTGGGAAGAGGATCTCAACTGACCGCTGGAGGTGTGGCGGGTGCTGTATTCTGGATGTCCGTGTATCCGGCGGATGTAATCAAAAGTGTAATTCAAGTTGACGACCATCGGAATCCCAAATACAAAGGTACCTTTGATGCATTCAAGAAAGTTTTTGCTGCCGAAGGAATCAAAGGGTATTACAGAGGTTTCGGTCCTGCCATGTGCCGTAGTGTCCCTGCCAATGCCGCCTGCTTTTTGGCATATGAGATGGCCAGGGAAGCCATGGGCTGATCTGTAGAAAGTTTTTCACCATGCTTGTGTACATCTCAGTTTGACTGACAGGATTTTAGCGTCACAAGTACCCACATTGGTGCATAGAAGTTCCTCTCTTTTTCTCTCTCCTGTACAGTACATGATTATTGCTGGCAGAGCCTAGGTTCGCGAGGCTTAGGCAGGCTTTCCTCTAGGAGTACATTTCGTTCTCTTTGTCTCCGTCGTGATCCAGGTTGACGTTTGATTATCGTTCATCCTGGAGGGAGCCTCACACTCTTGACACGGTCAGTTGTTCAAGCTGGTTCTGCCGGCTTGGCCCATTTAAGATTCTTAGTTTAGAACCGTTCGAAAAAATAAAAGTTCGATGGTGAAAATTTATGAGGTTGGTCATGAACCGGACATCAGTTGTACACTAGGATCTTACTCAAATTTAATGAGGAAGATTGCTCACAGTCACACACGTTTGTCACCTCTCTTGTGACTTTTCTGACGATTTACTGATGCTCTTGCTAAGGGATCGAAGGTAGACAAGGAATCCTTCACCTAGGTTATGTTTGCTAGATTGCATTATCTCAAAACTTTGAAGTCCACAGCGAGAGGAGGGAACTGAAATAAATCTATGTATACCAAAATGTCTATGCGATCATGTTCCAATAGGGGAGAGGAGTTCATTGGTTCTTAATTTGGGTTGGTCAATACGGTTGTTATTTCTCAGTGCAATGCAAATCACCGACCAACCTGTGTACATTTAAGATTTAGCTCATCTTGTTACGAAATTGTTTAATCCTTCTGAAAGCGTGTTTGGTCTGAAACAATCATGGTAAAATGGAAGACCCTGGTCAACATGAACACAAGGTGAGTGTCTTCTAATCATCCGCAGGTGTGTCATGTATAATTGGTTGACCTATCTAGGTTCGTCTAGTCAGTCATTCAAACAAGCGTTTGCGTTCTCACAGAGTGGGATTAATTCAGGTTCTTCCGGTTATAAGCTATGGCTGCACAGAGTAGAAATGTATCGATATGGAACTTTGCCAGCATGCAAACTTTATACGCCATTGTTTTGCAGGCTCCATATTCTGAAGAGAGAGTTACCATGATTAGATAATATTATCCGGTCAGCTGATGAAATTCTCTCACGTCTTATGTGATAGAATGAAAAGTGGCGTTTGTTTTGGTCTTCCTGTGGAATTGATGGAAAAGACGGCTCGTCGTCTTCTACGAGCTTCTCTTCACTCTAACAATGATCGTTACAATTTCTTTCTGCTTTGAGTGTTAACTACGTATGTGGCCGAACACGTCAATTTCCAGCTATTTCCTCTGACGGCTTCCAAGTCCAAGTGACGATCATACAACTAAAAAGTTATCGTGGCAGTTTGTAGATCAAATGAACCGATTGCACACTGATATTACTTGTCGCAAAGTTTCTTGATGAGATAATCCCAGCACTTCAAGTCCACTCAATGAAGTCCTGCACGGATGAGTAAGTGACGGCTCATGCCGTTTGTCGGATTGATATGCAGGGACTGATACATTTCCATCCGGCCTCTAATTGAACTCAACACTGCCTTAACAGCCCGTCTTGAAATGCAACTAAAACCGATACGATTAGTCTCTTGGAGTCAGGAGTAACACATTAAGTTCCGAATGGGTGAATGATTTGCAGCGTGTGCCAGTCCGACACGTCGATATGATGATGCCCTCTGTGTGGTTGGACGTTTGTAAGTGAGGCTCTTTATTCGCTCGCTTGCTCGATCAACCGGAATTGTGAACCCATTTTGAGAGGTAGCTCTTTGTAGAAGCAGTTGAAATACGTCATTTTTGAGATTAAGGACCGCGTGACAACTGAGTAAAACACCTGAGTAGGCTCAGGTGTTTTACACATCTATGACAGAAGTATTATCTTAAAATTCATTGGAAAGAGTATTCAGCCATTCACGGTAGCGTCGGAGAATATAATCATCTAAATTTACTTAATTTTTGAATGTGGCTTCCCTCTGTCTGAATATATCAGCACGAGAAAACTAGTAGTCTTATAAACAATATGCACTCTCTGAATCCGATGTGAAGGCAGTGCAGAAGCGACCAATGTACCAAGGATACGAACTTGGAGTGATACGGGCTTGTTGGATAGTGGTGACCTTATTGTCTAACCTGTACGCGTGGCTAGAATTATCCCCTCAAGATTCCCTTCCGCGTTCATCTTGCATCTTTTCGTACTGCAATTTTGAAATTGACAATGTTTATCATTGAGCATTCCATTCCTAGCAATACAAATCCTGTTTAGATTAAAAATTATAAAATAAAGAAGTAATCAGACAGATATTACTTCCTATTATGTATTAAATTAAATGTACCACAAAACTGAAGTGGTTAGCGCAAGATGTAATAAACGCATACACAACATTGTTTTCGTTGCGGATCAAATTTTCACGAGATGAAACAAAGAGAAAGACATAAGTCACATTTTAACATGAAAATGTAGGACAATTATGATAATCATACACTTGTGAAGAAAAGTGTGCCTATTTGCGAGAATCAAACATTTTTTGGATAAATGATAAAATACTGTTCTTCTGTTTAAAAATAATTCTTATTCGCCCAAAACATCACTAACAACTGGAAGGATATCACACACTTTTCATTCATATATTAAAAAATTTTAATTAGTTTTCCATCCATTCAAGTCACTTTTTTTTAATCTAAAATTTTCATAAATATATTTGAATCACACAAATTTGAAAAATGACTTTAATAAAGAAGAATTTATTTTAAATAATTCTCATACATGCATAATAATATTTTGAATAGATTTTAGGTTCTTTTGTTTATTTAAATGTAAATTCATATTTTCAGATGTCAGTTTTGTGATTTCAAACAAGATAACAAAATTGTTAAGAAAACATGTATTTCTATTGAACATTAAACTTTGAAAAATATTGACTGTAAGACATACATATAATTTTGAAATCTTGTATTATCTATCAATTGATTTTTTCAGTACGATTTTAAAAGAATAATTTGGTGATGAAATCATAACTTGAAAAAAAAATCCAAAAAATCAAACTATTTATCATATTTATATAGTTGCAATGGTTTTTTAACCTAAATATTCTTTTAAAAAAATTCAATTTATTAACAGGCTAGATGTATGAATTGAAAAAAATCTGTTTATTTTATACTCTTCATTGTGATAAACTTTTAAAATCTCATGATAACATGATGTTTTATGTTCAAATTGGAAAAACAAGAATTTTCTCACAATGTCAAAACCTAAGAATGGTATAAACTATGCAAAGATTTGTACTTTTAGTCAAAAGTAATAAACAAACTTCTTTGTTGTGGTCTTTTTTTTGTTAATTACGATTGTTGTTATATATGACTTTTAAAATTCTAATGTAAATGTAAAAAATATTGTCGTGCGACTAAGTATCACCATACATCATACATCGCTGACATGCTCTACTCACAACTCACACGTACATACACAAGGAACGAGAGTGTCCACACACAAAGGTATCACAACTTGCCCCTCTAGCTGGCAGTCAGGTCCCTCTGACTCCCAGGTAGCCCTATCTACAACTACATGCTATGCACCTTCGTGGGTGCGCAAACCAGTAGGCCGGGTGCTATGTCGCTCCATCGTTAGTCGCCTATCTGCAATTCATAACATGTGAAGATCAAGTCATCTACCCTTTGATGTACATCGAGGACAAACCCACCGTCCAGTAGGATCAACATCGATAGGTGGAGTCAAGCACAACATGTGCCATCCCCTAGAACACCTATCACACACCAACATATGGCCCGCCTGATCAGCTTACCCACATAACATGCACCTCAAGCCGGCACATACAATCGCAGAGCTTGGATCCATAGTACCATCAACATTTGGGAGGTGGCAAGGCGCACAGTTGCGCACATGATCCTTCCAAACGACACCATCACGACCCTCCAACATGAGAACTCCAGAAGGTAACACCTCTTGCACTCGCAAAATAGTGCGTTCTGCCGTCACATCCAACGTAGTCGGTGCAGTCTGTTGTAAATAGACGTAGTCTCCCACACGGAACCTACGAATCGATGGTTGATAACCTCCTCCTCGAATAGTTGCATACCGCAACGTATCCCTGTGCTGAGCAATCGTAAGGTTCTCGAACGTTGCAGGCATAACTCTCCAAAAGAGCACTGCACGTTGGGAACACACTCTCATCCACATATCTGGATCATCAAGGTTCACCACCTCGCTAGACTCACGATGAATCGCTGCAGGCAAGTCTGGATCTCGGCCGTACAATAGAAAATATGGTGAAAACGAAGCCAAGGATGCTTGACGACTGAATCTATATCCCATGGCCAGCCATGGTAACTAAATATCCCAGTCCCCAAGATGCCCCTTCTCTAGGCCATACTTGCGCAACGCTCTCTTCACCGTCTGTACCATCAGCTCAGCCAAACCATCCGCCTCTGGATGATCTCGGGAAGTAGTCCGGTGATCAATCAGCGTCTTGTCACACAAGACCTGAAACTCACCCTGAAACTCTGTCCCCTGATCGGTCAACACCTCAGCTGGTGCACCAAAGTGACTAAGCACCTTGTCAAGGAAAGCATATGCTACTCCCTCACTCGCCTTGTCAGGTAATGCCACCAACTCAATCCACTTGGAGAAATGCTCCACCATCACCAACACAACCGATGATGTCGTGCAGTCAAAGGTAGTGGTCTAGCAAAGTCCATACTCCAACGGTAACCCAATTCCATGATAAGTAAGGGATGTAACTCTGGTGTCGGGGCATTGAACGATGCCCTCACTCGATCACAAACCATGCAACGTGATACCAACTGCTGTACCTGCGTATGCATACCACGCCACCAATACTGACCTAGGAGTAAGCTGTACATACGCTTCACTCCAAAATGTCCCAACTCCTCATGAGCATGCCTCACAATGCGTGCTCTCTGAGCTGGATGCGGTACTACTCGTACCCTACCGTCCTCCCACACTCGGAGAACATGTGATCCCTCCAATCGGTATCTCTTCGCCCGCTGGAGAACACGATCTCGCTCCTTGGCACCCACTGTGCCAGGCACCATACTGGTCCGTAGGAACTCCAACACCAACGCATCATCGTGGACATCACGCTGGTCCACACCACCATCCTCAACGTCAGGATCCGAAGACTAACTATCTACTCTCTGACTAGAGTAAGATGTCAAGTGGTTCTCACTACTAGAGGCTCCACGTAACAAACACATGAAGGCAGATGCATGCCAACCGGGCATCATCTTCTCCTCAACCTCATCATGCCATCTAGCTCCAGTGTCATCCTCCTGGCTAGTGCATGGGTTCCAACTCAAATCGTCGGCATCCAAGTTCGCATCTCCAGGCCTATGCACCAC